GACCAGACCTAAATGCATTGATCGCCATCGCTGCACGCCGGTTGATCGCGTGAGATCGCGTTGGTTTGGCCGAACCTTAACGGCGAGACATTAAATAAAGCTTTGCAAGTTCTAGCGTTTCTAAAATAGATTCATCTAATTTGCATTTTAAAGAGGGCTTTCATCTTGTCGAGCAAGGCGAGTTGCACGTTAAAGCTTCCAAAGGGGCTCTTCGAAGCTTTGTAAGAGAAGACTACTACTTGATACATTGACAGTAGATAATTTATAAGTAAATTGTTGATTTAGTGTGGTCTGTTATTTTTGTTGAACATAATTAGTCACTTGATTTCATACTTGAATAACGTGGCGAGACACTGATACGACCATTACGAACACAAACCATATTTATCAGAGACACGACCTTTAAAGCGATAATGCTAATTTTAGGTTCTTTGTCATTTTTTCGATTATACATACAAGCTTTGACAAGTTCGGTTTAATATTTATACCCGTTTACTTCTTTATTAAATAAATTAGTCACTAATTTTAATCTTGAGTCTATTCAAGGCGAGAGTGAATAGGGTGGAAAAAAATACTGGGTAGGTATGATGTTCTTACCATAGATTGCATCTACACCTGATGTTAACAGGTGTGATTGCAAGAGAAAGTGGTAACAAGGCACAGAAAAAGCTAGAATATTCGCATTTGAATTCGTTATATGATGACAAATTGGACTATTATTACTTTCACAACAACTCAGAACGAAGTAATGTTTACTAGGAATTGTAAATAGTTCACGTTTGCTTATTTCGAAGCCGATATTGTGGCGTGAACGGAACCAGATCAAGGCGAGGCGATTATTACATCAACACTGCACCAACTCCGGCGCACTCGACACCAATGTTGTGGGAATAATCCTGAACTTTTCACACGCTCGTGGATTTTTTTACATAAAATTTCTATTGTTTCATGAATTAATCACAACGTAAACTGATAATGATACTTCCCGTAATATAATAATAACGATACCCAAAGTACTTTGGAGCTTACCTTCAAATTCGTCCGTTCTATGTAATTAATTTTTTTAACATGAATGAGTTTGTAAAGCGTGTGATTTTCAATAGTAAAAATAAAATGTAGATTTTTTTAACAAAAGTAGATTACATTCAGTTCAGATCTCAGACCCATTATTTTTTAATTTTAAAAAGTTGTTAAAAGCTTCTGGGTTTTTACTGTGTGTAAAAAAATAATGTGTGTGGCGAGATGATTCACGTTTTACTTTTTGAGTGGAGGTCATAACATTTTGAAGATTTTTTAAGCATTCATCAGCAAAAATATTCCCTTGAGATATGTAGTATATTTTTAAGCACCCGTATTTAAATCCGCATCGTTACCGCAGCGGATGCGCGTATGCGCAGCCGAGCGCGACGCGCCGCAGCGCGCCGCACACGCACGGCCAAGGCCGCACTGATTGCATCTGCTCACCTCGCGAATATGTAATCTTACGCTAATTATCGTGTTATTGTGTGTAAAACAAATCATGCACTTGATGAATTGTGACGTAACTTTTTATCATTTATTTCATCAAGCCAACAAGTTTGGGGATTAATAGGAAATCTATTACAAACAACTTCCGTGTTGTTAATAATACGATGCTACAATGTTAATACAATGTTTATTTATTTTATAGTATTTTTTTTTAAACTCTCATTAAGATTTGTATTGGAATAAAAAGTTTTTAAAAACATTCTGCGATCCAATTTTGTTCCTTTGTTCTAGCGTCAACAAAAAAAAAAAAACAAAAAGATGGTTGGGCTCGTCCGGGATTTGAACCCGGGACCTCTCGCACCCTAAGCGAAAATCATACCCCTAGACCAACGAGCCGGTTGAGAGACGTTCGAAATTGTTTAGCACGTGGCCGCAGCGTCGTCGCAGTGACGTCATATTGATATGAGGTCGAGACTTTCGTTGGCCGATCGGGGACAGACAGATGTTCTTGTTTGGTTAGCAGCTTCACACCAGCAAGACAGGAAGCATGGCTGAGAAAACAATCGATTTTGGCAATGTAAAAAAATAATACGAGTATTCTAGACCAATACCCAAATAGTCCAGTCATTTCGTCCGAAAAAAAGGCAAATAAAAGAAAATGAATTTGCGCTTCTAATTTTTTAATATGTTGTAAGGGATACCTAGAAAAGCTTAACTTGAGATTGTCGACCAAGCTTTCCTAGGAGCTTTCGCCGCCATCTTGGAAAACGCTTAAAATTTGTTTTTCGGCAATAACTCGGCTATCCGATGAGATTCGAAAATTTTTGTAGGACACTTTTTGTAGCTTTCTTTGTGCTCTACAATAACGCCTGAACCATTTTTAACGTATCATGCATCGTTATCGAGATATCGATCGATAAAGTCAAAAATTTTGGACACAATTTTTGTTTTTTTCTTTTTTTTTCTTTGGGTCTTAATAAATATGAAAAATTCCGAAATAATTAAATAATTAATTAAAAAGTAAAAAGTAAAATTTAATTACTTTTAATTACTTTTTTTTAAGTAACGGCAAAGCATTTGTATTAGTTGGTTCTTGTTTTGATCCCTTGTGAGAAACTTCTCCTGGCTAACTTTTGGAGTAGTTGTCTCATCGAATGTGAACTCCGGCGATTGGTTTTTTCTCGAACGTCGTACTCTTTCCGAAGTTTTCGTTCCAGCGAGTGTCATATCAGTCGGATAACCGTCGAATATGATTGCAACCTTTCCTTCAAAGTTATGTTGTACGTATCTGACGTTAATTATTTAATTATTCCGAAATAATTTGTGTCCAAAATTTTTGACTTTATCGATCGATATCTCGATAACGATGCATGATACGCTAAAAATGGTTCGGGCGTTATTGTAGAGCACAAAGAAAGCTACAAAAAGTGTCCTACAAAAATTTTCGAGTCTCATCGGATAGCCGAGTTATTGCCGAAAAACAAATTTTACCCCTTTTTTCAACATGGCGGCGAAAGCTCCTAGGAAAGCTTGGTCGACAATCTCAAGTTAAGCTTTTCTAGGTATCCCCTACAACATATTAAAAAATTAGAAGCGCAAATTCATTTTCTTTTTTGAATGTACGTAATGACTGGACTAAAACCCAAATCAAAACAAACGAGTAAGTTTGTATAAATTGTGAAGACATAATACTTAACGTGTTATTAACTAAAGGAAACTGTTTCTCACACAATGGTGACTGACAAATATCTTTTGAGTATTTAATAAACATCTTGATGCGTGAATCATTGTGCATCTTCCGCTGTAAGTAGCTCGTCCAGCGGCAATTGATCAAATTGAACAGTTAACAGTTGTCCGTTCGTTTCGAGACAATAAATTGGCTACAACGGACGAACGCGTTATCTGTGCCCACTGATGAATGTGATCTTTATCTCTAGTAGATAAAGCTCACATTGGTGTAGCAGGTGCAGAATAAGGGCTATCAAATTAGTTCGCGCACTGATGAGATGCAATTGAAGGCGAGGTCTGATAGTTGAGAGCTGCGGGGAAATAGTTTAACTAAATGGACTTCTCGGGTTTCACTAGTTGCATAAAGCTCTTGGTCAAGATGCGAGCGCGGTGTGCTCGCATCTTGCTCTTTTTCTCGTTGTATAGAACATATTCTTGAACGGGTCGCCGATAGAAATTTAAAACAAGTTGGACGACCTCATTCTGCTTCTTAATGTTGTTTGCAACCAGTGCTAGATCAACTTTAACTGGAAATGGTAGTTATTTATTTATCGCTTCCACCTTCGGCCTGATCATCACTTACCTCGCTGTGGATAAAAAAAAATGGATATTCAAGTCTATCAATGACCTAATTTACAAATATTTATTCCAAGTGTAGGTAGTTTTGTGATTACAGAGTAACAACTACCTACAATACAAATCCTGTGAGACAGTGTTCATCATAACAGCACAATAACAGTTTGTAAAAGCAATAGATATTTATTCAGTAACAGTTCTTAGGAAACTTTACTGTTCGGCTGGTGCATTTCTCGTACAGGAATGGCAATAATTGTCGCGTGACGCGTTTCAAGGAAAGCCGCCAGTTGGTGTCATTCTGCGCGCGACTCGGCTGCCAAACATCCGGGTTCTGACTGCTAGAGACCAGACCCGTCGCACACCGCTCAATGTCTCTGAGAAAATAATCGATACATTACCGCCTTTAGAATGTGTTCGAATAATGTATTCGATTGTAAATACATTAAAGTATTAAAATACTGAGTCACTTTAAAGAACAAACTGATTTAATTTTGAGATCAATAAATGTCGGTAGGCTGTAAAAAATGACACGCAGTTCTAATAGAACCGTCAGATACTTTTCGTGCAACATTTTCAGTCCACTAATTGTTGTTCGTTTTCTTTACTCATAATGTTAGATTTATTTTTGAATTAGAAGGGAGCCATGAAAAGAACTTGTGTGTAACCTAATGGTCAGAGACCAGTGCAGCATTGCCGACATTGGAAGAAGATCTGCCGATTCGTTGCACACCTACCTATATTTGTCGCACGCACGCTTTGCCTTTGGGATTGCTACCATGTAGTACCTTAATTTGTAATTGTAACCCAGTGATTCGAATGTGCTAACATCGGATAATTCAAAAGTTACGAGAAAATAGTGAGTTAGTGAAAAGTCGTACCGGAGCCAATCGTAAAATAAGAAACTGCGAAAGAGGGTAGACCGATATGTCTGCCCATAACATCTTACCGGCTAGTTTCTTCAGTTAATCCGTGATCATGGCGCTTGCAACAGTGCCGAAATATCGGAGACTCTGGTATTATGGTACATACATGGTAGCAATCCCATCAGTAATAATTTTCTGTTAGTGACCGACCATGATAGTTTTTCGTTTGTATACCAACATGGAGCAATAAAGAATATGATAGACTATGATAGTTTAAAACATTTTTTTTTCGCAAATTAGGGTGTGTAGTATTTTGTAAGTTATCAATAGTCGTGCCAAAGTGACCCAGGTTTCTGTTGGTTGCAGGATTCGTGTCGATCTCGGACGGGAACGTGGAGGTGGAGTCGCCGCGGCGCGAGTGGCGCGCGTTGGCCGCGCACTACGCCGGGCCGCTGGCCGTGCTGGTGCTGGCGGCGCTGCTGGTGGCCGCGCTGCCGCTCGCTGGGTGAGACACCACGCCTTCTCTGATAGATTTAGTTCTGATCATGGACCTATAAAAAAAGTCGGACGGATTCTCATCAACAAAATACTGTGACATTAGGATATACCAGCTCGCCTGTACGTACAGGCCGGCACGCACACATTCATACCATGATACACCACTTCGAGTGCAAACTTCACACAGTTGACACATTTAAAAAAAAACACAAATACGACATGTCTTGCGTGGTGAAATTGTGTAAAAACCGTTCTGATCGAACGAACAAAAATCAAGGAATCACATTTCACGGGTAAACTAATAATCTAATCACTTATTTCCCCGATTTTATAAACATTAAAATATTAAAATCAAACGTCAATCACCCGACAAAATAATACGTCAAAGGCCAGTGTTCTCAGTTATTTACGTGGGAAAATTACCCGAAAAGTGGGAAAACTATAATTTTAAGACTTTTTAGGTGTTTATTACGCATACTATTGAAATAAAATAATTTATCTTAATAACTGTGTTTTAATGGGATATATTTTCGTAGGCAGATTTGATCCTTCCCTAGGGGGTGGAACTGCGAAATTCAAATTTTCTTATATTTTTGCAAGTCAGTGTCAGGTTGTATGTTAAAATCTATCAGAGATAATAATATTGATGATACATAAGATTATGATTACGTAGGTACACAAGATTGATCATTTGTAACTGCGTGAATCGTACCTGACACTGACTTGCAAACAAAGTAAGAAAATTTGAAAATTTCGCGTCTTACTCAACGTATTCATCTTTCATCCTTTTCAAATGGCACGATATAATTTCGTCTACATTTCCAAGTAACATATCTGCCCATCTATGTTTTTCTTAAGATAAATGGGTAAAATGTTTTGGCTATCATGGCATCCCTAAATTCACTCACACAATAGACAAACGCCAAAATTTTGCGTCACAGTTTTGTTGTAGCGCGAGTTCCGTCCGCCTTTTTTTATAGGTCCATGGTTCTGATACGCTCGCGAGGAAAGAGGAAACGCAAGCGAATGAATGCTAGAGGCACCTGCCTATGGTTTAGCCTGCGTTAAAACTCATCATCATCATCATAATTTTCAGCCATAGGATGTCCACTACTGAACATAGGCCTCCCCCCAATGATTTCCACAATTGCCGGTTGGTGGCGGTCTGCATCCAACACCTTCCCGCTAGCTTTATCAGGTCGTCGGTCCACCTTGTTTGTGGACATCTTGGTGGACATTATGGTGGTACGAGGCCTCCACTCCAGAACCTTGCTGCCTCGGCCGTCGGTTCTGCGTACTATGTGCCCTGCCCATTGCTACTTCAGCTTGCTAATCCTATGGCTATGACTATGTCAGAACTCATAAAACTCAGTTATTTACAAACCTACTCTCGCGGGACTCGAGATTTTTTGTGGCCCCACATGGGTAGTGGAAATGTAGAAAGTGCCTAACACTCAGTTTTTGTAGTTCTTTATTAAAATGCGTTGGTTCCGGCAGGCTGTTCTGGTGCTGCTGCTACTGGTGCCGCTCGGGGCGGCGGCGGCGCGCCTTCGACCGCAAGTACGACGCCTGCCTCAAGGGCATCCTCGCCATCGTGCTCATCGGCCTGCTCACGCTCTTCCTGTAAGTTCACTCGTACTTGCGCTATGAATCAAGAAGACATAACGGAGATATTTTGATAACAATCATTGCAGGGATAACAGACATCAGCATGAAAAAGCAAAATAATCTTCATTCAGATTTAGATAAAAACCTTGTAAGATAATGATATTTACATAAATTTTATTACAAGCAATAAAAGATTACAGATATTTCACTGAGGGATTTCCCTCACCACATTTTGGTAGCTTTTTCATCACCATCATCATCAATCGTTTAGAATAAATAAATGGTTTATTTTCTTTCTTAACATTCTGATTGGAACTAGGTATGTACTTTAATTATCATTTTATGAATATTACTTTTTCACAGTGCCTTGGCAACATTTTACATAAAAAACTATAGATTTCTTAAAGCCCGGTCCGTGAGCACGTAGATTTTTGTCCAATGACCCCTAGCTACCCATCCTTATCGCTCGCGCGTAATTATATTGCTGTCGCGACTGTGCGACGGGCGCCCGCAGTGAGTGTGCGAGCGCGATAGCAACATAATTACGCGCGAGCGATAAGTATGGGTAGCTTGGGGTCATTGGACAAAATTCTACGTGCTCACGGACCAGACTATAGTAGCAAAAGAAAAACTTACTTTAAAAAAATGTGTTTTGTGGGATAATGTTGGAGAAAGTACAATAAAGGTAACATCGCTTGCAGATTCGGCGTGGTGTGCGCGTTCGCGACGGACTCGCAGCTGGAGACGAGCGCGGGCGAGGCGCCGGGCTCGCTGCGGGCGGGGCTGCGGGACACGCGCGCCTTCCTCAACGCCACGCAGGCCCACGCGCGCTGGCTGCTCGTCACCAACTACCAGGAGCTCGAGCACAAGCTCAACGGGCTGCTGGCCAGTGAGTCGCACATCCTGCAGGGACACGACTCGCGGCCGGAGACGAGCGCGGGCGAGGCGCCGGGCCCGCACATCCTTTGTCTCGGTGGCACTGTCGAGGGTTGTTAGGGTCTGACTAGACTTCAGATATGTAAATTAAAGGCGGACTGTATTTCATAGGTATAATATAAAATATATCGTAAATATACAGGGTGGAAACGATAAGTGATCTCACTCGATTATTTCTAAACCATACAAGATATCAAAAAACTGGTTCCTGATCCTGAAAGTGCTTTACGAGCTCTTTCAAACGGCACCAATAACAGGTTACAGAATAAACTGAATCTATCCGAAAATTCAATGTTTCCGGCTTCCATACATTTGGTACAGCCTCATAATATTAAAAACTACAGAAGGTATCGTAAAACTGGTTACTGATCCTAAAAGTGCTTCACGAGCTCTATCCAACGGTATCAATATTAAGTTACAGAATAAACTGGATCTATCCAAAAATCCAATGTTTCCATCCCCCATACATTTAGTACTACCACAGCCATGGCACTCATCTCTTGATACTTGATACAACACTTTATAGCAAGTAAAGCCTAAAACTAATTTTTTCCTTGAATAATTTTAAATAAAAATGCAATTTACGAGTTTTTTTTAGGTTCATTATTTAATTTTATAAAAATTACACTTAATATTGTGTGGTTGGCATACATTTAGTATGGAAGCTGGAAACATTGAATTTTCAGATACTTCCAGTTTATTCTGTAACCTGTTATTGGTACCGTTTGAAAGAGTTCGTAAAGCACTTTCAGGGTCAGTAACCAGTTTTTCGATATCTTGTATGGTTTAGAAATTATCGAGTGAGATCACTTATCGTTTCCACCCTGTATACGTGGGAGGGCCGCGTCTGACACCGGTGACGGTCGAGAGGCTGAGTGGGCGTTGGGCACGTACGGAGAGCGCCGGCGCTTCGCGCGGAGCCGATGATGGCCGATCGATGTCGATGAAGCCCGAGGACCCGAGAAGCGCCAACAAGGGTCGAATGATTAAGTAGCTAAGAGGTTCTCAATGTATCCACCGATGGTTGACGGTAGCCTTGTGTTCCCCAGGTACAGGCATGACGGTGTCGGTGCAGCTGGGCGAGTTCTCGCGCGCGGTGTCGGTGACGACGCTGAACACCATGGTGCAGCGGCTGGACGGCGTGGCGGCCGACCTGCGCGCCGTGCGCCGCCTCACGCTGCGGCTGCGCGCGCACGCCGACCAGCTCAACTCGGGTGAGCGACCCGCCCGCGTGAAGCAGCAGCAGCTTTAAGCAACGTACTCATCTGGCCGTGTATAGTCTGGTCTGTGAGCACCTGAATTTTGTCCAATGACCCCAAGCTACCCATCCCTATCGCTCGCGCGTAATTATGTTGCTGTCACGACTGTGCGACGGGCACCCGCAGTGAGTGTGCGAGCGCGATAGCAACATAATTACGCGCGAGCGATAGGGATGGGTAGCTTGGGGTCATTGGACGGGATTCTACGTGCTCACGGACCAGGCTTTAGCCGTGTATAGTCTGGTCTGTGAGCACCTGAGCGATAAGGATGGGTAGCTTGGGGTCATTGGACAAAATTCTACGTGCTCACGGACCAGGCTTTAGATGAGTACCCTGCTTAAAGCTGCTGCTGCTTCGCACACTCACTGAGGGCGCCCATCGCACAGTCGTGACAGCAACATAATTACGCGCGAGCGATAGGGATGGGTAGCTTGGGGTCATTGGACGGGATACTACGTGCTCACGGACCAGGCTTAAGCCGTGTATAATCTGGTCTGTGAGCATCTGAGCGACGGGCGCCCGCAGTGAGTGTGCGAGCGCGACAGCAACATAATTACGGGCGAGCGATAAGGATGGGTAGCTTGGGGTCATTGGACAAAATTCTACGTGCTCTCGGACCAGGCTTTAGATGAGTACCCTGCATAAAGCTGCTGCTGCTTCGCACACTCACTGCGGGTGCCAGTCGCACAGTCGCGACAGCAATATTACGCGCGAGCGATAAGGATGGGTAGCTAGGGATCATTGAACAAAATACTACGTGCTCACAGACCGGGCTTTAGCATGTAATGTATCAGATACTGTATCAAGTGAGTACATAGGCACGAGCCCGCTGCGAGCTGCTCGCGCGTGGTTCGCAGGGAGATCGCAGCGACCCGCCGAGTGGTATCACTGCGAGCACAAAGGCGGCTCGCAGTAGGATTCAGGAGCTCGCAGCCAGATATGCGATGACCGTGGACGAGCCGTACTCACTTGAAGGTTGGTTATGTTACATGCTTAGTTATGTGCTAAATGGCAAGTGAGTACCCTGCCTAAGACACTGTAACACGCGAACTCCTTGAGAAGATTCGACGTGACACACTGTTTTGTTTCAATAAGGGTTTTCGCGAACGAAAGATCCGCTTAGATGGCAATACGTAGACGCGAGGTCGAAATGCTGCATGATTGGTTATTTTTGACATGACATTGACAGATATGTCAAAATCCACCAATCACGCAGCATTTGGATATTGGACCACGCGTCTATGTATTGCCATCTGGCGGATTTTTCATTCGCGAAAACCCTCATTGCCTACACCCATGTGCGTCCACTCATCCTCAACGGCTACTAATCCACCATTATTACTACCAGGGCTGCGCAAGGTGAAGGGCCAACTGCTGGCGACGCTGGCGCAGTGCTCGCAGCCGCCGTGCGTGCGCCTGCAGGAGAAGTACAAGCTGGGCCAGCTCGACACCGAGATCCAGTACAACCAGGTACGTGGCTTCCGTGATCCTCCAGTGACAGTTACTCGTTCTTTTTATTGTTTAGTTATTTTTAATTTTTTGGTTATTTAGTTTACGATTAAGTTATGATGGGACTGACATACTATGTAAAAGTCCCTAAATTAATAAATAGAAAATAAAACAGGTACGTATACCACCCCCACCCCCACCCTATGTGCACGCAGCATTACAACCAGCCGGCCTAGGATGCGCGCCACGATGTAATCGAATAAACGATTTTAAACGAAAAATCGATAAAATGCATCGATAAGACAAAATAATGGCGCGCATCCGCGCTACAGGTACAGATACGCGTTCGGTGTAAGGACCGAACGTTTCACAGAGCGGTCATATCTACGTGTGCATTTTGTTAACGTCATTTAGAATTACTTTGATAACTACCGCAGCGACAAGAAGCTTCTGGATGCTCTATTTATGTGCGCTTCTCCTTGCTTAAGCCTAAAAAAATATTTATGAAAGCAAAACTATTTCAAGACAATCAAAAACTCATTTTTCCAAGCCTAGCAAAATGAATTCTCATTTTTATTAAATTAAAAATATTCGTACTAATCTTGTCTTTTGCTTTTTACATCAATTGCATAACTAACTCTGGTCTGTTATTAAATTTCATGCTCACTCGGATAGATGCTTGACAAATACTTCCCAACTGTAAGTATCTTTCTATTCTTAACCCGTACTGTATTTAACTTGAATCTATTATGTCTGTAATAAATTATTTGATTTTGTCTCATTACTTGTAGTATAGATCTTGTCACAAAAACTTTTAGGCCAGTAGAATTAGATTTTAAATCAGAAATAATTCCTACAAAAGATTTTATTGCTTTAATGGCTTCATTGGTTGCCCATTAAACCTAGGAGAGTCTCCTAGGTTTTTGACTTCGACGGAGTTGTGCTTAAGTGGGGGGGCCCCCGAAAGGGGCGCTTTTAGGTTTATATAACCTTCCTCAATTTATGAGCTATTCAATACAAAAATAATTATTTCAATCAAACTAGTAATTCTTGAGATTAGCGCGTTCAAACAAACAAACAAAAAACTCTTTAGCGTTTTAATATGAACTTGTTGTTGTTGATTTTTGGCGTCGAACCTTAGACCAGGCATACGGCTAGGCAACGTAGTCGTGCAGGAGGATACAAGGAAGAGGGGCAGCCACAGTAGGTAACACAAAGTCGTTCAGGTGAGTGCCAGGAAGAGGTGCAGCAACCGCAGTTAAGGAACGGCTGGGACGAACAAGGATAGGCGCATCAAGCTCGTAAGTCTTGATAGGGTTACACTGGTTAAGGCGCTCCTTTTCAAGACTTGGAAGCCTGCGGGTAACGAGCCATTGGACGTGGAGAGCGTCATTAATTATACACATATTTTCTAGTTTGCCGAACATTTGCACGAGAACAGTTTGTCCAAAACATATGAATTTGGTCTTATCTAATGCAGGATTAAATGCCCTTCAACCGTCAGGAAGACCAATTTCGATAGGGTAAGTCCTATACGCGGTATAACCGGAAAACCGAAAAAGCGCCCCTTTCGGGGGCCCCCACCACCTAAGCACAACTCCGTCAAAGTCGAAAACCTAAGAGAGTCTTTATGGGCAACTAATGAAGCCATTAAAGCACTAAAATCTTTACTAGGAATTATTTCCGATTTAATTCATTTTTGTGTTTAATTCTACTGGCCTATTTATACAATTAGTTTGTTTTTTAAATTAATCAATACAAAATAATTATGTCGATACAAATCATTTTCCAGGAAGCAATAGAGATTATTAAGCAAAACTCTTTGCAGAGGGCGCTCCTAGCACAAACAATAAGAAAGCAAAGCATCGAATTTTAACGTAACACTAAATTCATAATTAAAATTATATTAAAAATTACATAACTTCTTAGCTATTTTAAATTTAAATTAAGTATTATTTTTCATATTTGCAATTTTATTCACGACATTTGTAAATCACAACACTTATAATAAAAAAAAACAGTTTGTGCTAGTGCTGCGCCCTAGCGGCAATAATACGACCTCTAGTTGTTGGCGCCACCACGAGCATTACCGTGGCGCCACTTGTGTCCTTCCCACTATTTGAATCAAAGTGATCATTTGAATTTGGAACGCTTCAAGAAAGTCGCAGTTCGAATTTTAAATTCCGCGCCAACTCCCGGCAATGACGCGCGGTCCTACCCCTAATCTTTTTTTATTCTGTTGAGATCTCAAACTGTGTCTGTTTCGCGTCGCGTAAAATTTTGTAAAATGTGAAAATTAAGTGTATATTTTGGTGATTTACTGTTATAATCCGACTTCTAGATCTAGTAGGTCGTTGTGAACGTGAAGGTAAGGCGGGCTTGCTAGGGGATGGGTTTTTGAAATACACGTGAATTCTATGCACGAAGACTTCTGAAGCGTCATGTAAGTGTCTTTTATTTGTTAGCCCAGATAACAATAGTGTTTAGGACACAAAGTAGTACTCTTCATTCGTCTTTTTTTCGCAAACTTTCTTTAATTATTGTAAATACTTATAACTACGTTGTAGAAAACCATCGTGGTTATTCCGCCATTTTTTTTGTGGATGTTCGAGGCATACTATTTTCAACCACATACCCACAAATGTCTTCGTAGGTAAAATACGTTACTTTCTAAAATACTCATAGCATTTACCTACCTACACATTTTATTACAATAAAAAACATAGAACCTCATTTAGTTTTTTTACCTTGTGGTAGTTTGCGATATCGGGCGGTAGTCGAGCCGTTCTTCGTGTAATCTTAGTTTTTTTTTTTTTTTTTTTTTATGCTAGCCAAGGCAGGTATTTGACCGCATCTTAGTTGAAGTTTTATCGGTTTTTTCTTTGTTGTAAATTTCAATTTTTTTTTGATTTTTTGGATACCTCCACTCCTTTAGTAAACGTTTTGAAATCAGCGGGGCTACTCTAACGTAATTTTTTTTTGATGTACCTTTCGCTCTCAGTCATGTCGGCATCTCGTTTCGAGTAGCTTTGCATGACTGGCAAATCTGCCGGACCGGTAAAACTGTCGAAAGGGCTAGTGGCTGTACAATTTATTCACATCATCCCGGATCCGGTATTTTTACCGAGCGTTTTGTCACTGCGATCACAGGCCGCTACCATTCGATCAACATGGAAAGCATTGGGGGAGGCCTATGTTCAGCAGTGGACGTCCTATGGCTGAAATGATGATGATGATGAAGTGCTGGTAAAACCATCGGACCGGAGCAGTGTGAACAGTCTGTCCGGTATCCGGTTTCCGACAAATCTGCTGGTCCGGCATATGGGAACCCGGCCTAACATTTGACGTGTGCGCAGATGCCGGACGTGTCGGAGCTGTTGAACAACGTGACGGCGCTTCTGGACGCGCGGATCCAGGAGGACGTGGCGGACGGCCAGCGCGTGTTCAAGGACATCCAGCGCGCCGTGCGCCGCGAGCTGGAGCAGCACATCCCCGACGTGCAGGCCGAGCTCGCCAGCACCGGTGAGTGCCACGTGGCCGGCCCGCCCCCAGGAGCACGTGGCGGACGGCCAGCGCGTGTTCAAGGACATCCAGCGCGCCGTGCGCCGCGAGCTGGAGCAGCACATCCCCGACGTGCAGGCCGAGCTCGCCAGCACCGGTGAGTGCCACGTGGCCGGCCCGCCCCCAGGAGCACGTGGCGGACGGCCAGCGCGTGTTCAAGGACATCCAGCGCGCCGTGCGCCGCGAGCTGGAGCAGCACATCCCCGACGTGCAGGCCGAGCTCGCCAGCACCGGTGAGTGCCACGTGGCCGGCCCGCCCCCAGGAGCACGTGGCGGACGGCCAGCGCGTGTTCAAGGACATCCAGCGCGCCGTGCGCCGCGAGCTGGAGCAGCACATCCCCGACGTGCAGGCCGAGCTCGCCAGCACCGGTGAGTGCCACGTGGCCGGCCCGCCCCCAGGAGCACGTGGCGGACGGCCAGCGCGTGTTCAAGGACATCCAGCGCGCCGTGCGCCGCGAGCTGGAGCAGCACATCCCCGACGTGCAGGCCGAGCTCGCCAGCACCGGTGAGTGCCACGTGGCCGGCCCGCCCCCAGGAGCACGTGGCGGACGGCCAGCGCGTGTTCAAGGACATCCAGCGCGCCGTGCGCCGCGAGCTGGAGCAGCACATCCCCGACGTGCAGGCCGAGCTCGCCAGCACCGGTGAGTGCCACGTGGCCGGCCCGCCCCCAGGAGCACGTGGCGGACGGCCAGCGCGTGTTCAAGGACATCCAGCGCGCCGTGCGCCGCGAGCTGGAGCAGCACATCCCCGACGTGCAGGCCGAGCTCGCCAGCACCGGTGAGTGCCACGTGGCCGGCCCGCCCCCAGGAGCACGTGGCGGACGGCCAGCGCGTGTTCAAGGACATCCAGCGCGCCGTGCGCCGCGAGCTGGAGCAGCACATCCCCGACGTGCAGGCCGAGCTCGCCAGCACCGGTGAGTGCCACGTGGCCGGCCCGCCTCCAGGAGCACGTGGCGGACGGCCAGCGCGTGTTCAAGGACATCCAGGAGGACCAGCGGACAGTTTGACAACATTACGAGATCATTTGTTATAGTTATAGCTTCCCTTCGAGTGACGTCATATCGCCAGCGGCAAACTTAAAACGAACGGACAGTAGTCTAGGGTGCAGACTCCGAAAGACTGTATGTATTGAAATGCGCTTTGAACTTCGGTTAACTTCCTCGAAGACTTCGTCGCGAGTTGTGTAGTTGAGGCAAGGGTTTAGGCCGCTGAGAGCCAAACCCTGGCACAGAGGAGCCATAAATCAAGGTTGGGTAAAGTTTGACAAAAATTGACATTTCAAAATCATTTTGCAGGTCGTCGTCTCCACGGGGTGGCGGATGAGATCACGTCCCTGGCGGGTAACGCAAGCCTGCGGCTTCAACAGCGCGAGGACGTGGCGGACGAGCTGCAGAAGCTGCACCAGCGCTACGGGCCCTACCGCCGCTACCTCGGGCTCGCCACCGCCACCGCGCTGCTCATGGTATGTTGCAGACGACGCATTAGGCGGTCAAGCCGTGCGGGCAAGTCGCTGTACAGGGTGGAATCTATAAATGATCTCACTCGATTATTTCTAAACTGTACAAGATATCAAAAAACTGGTTACTGATCCTGAAATTGCTTCACGAGCTCTTTTAAACGGTATTCCAGGTTACAGAATTAATTGGATCTATCCGAAAATTCAATGTTTTCAGCTTCTATACTAAATTTATGCCAGCCAATATTAGAAGTGTTAATTTTTTTTTATTATAATAAACACTTAAAATGACCTCGTGAATTGCATTCTTATTTAAAATTATTAATGGAAAACATTGGTTTTAGGCTTTGCTTGCTATAATAATATCAAGACATGAGTGCCATGACTGTGACAGTACTAAATGTATGGAAGCTGGAAACATTGAATTTTCGGATAGATCCAGTTAATTTTGTAACCTATTTTTGGTACATATTAATAGAGCTCGTGAAGCACTTTCAGGATCAGTGACCAGTTTTTTGATATATTGTATAGTTTAGAAATAATCGAGTGAGATCACTTATCGTTTCCACCCTGTATACCACAGAAGAAATAGTTGGCCATAGCGACCTGGCCTTGCGGCCTGCTGCCCTAATGCACCCGCCCGTAACAGACGATACTGTCACTGTGTTACAGTCTTACGTCACTTGTTTGTTTTGTGCGGTCGTAACACGTCGTTTGTTTATTTTGTGCGGTGTCCAACGTTGTTACTCCTCAGATCACGGTGCTACTAGCGCTGGGGCTGACGTGCGGCGTGTGCGGCAAGCGGCCCGACGTGTACGGCGCCAGCGACTGCTGCAACAAGGGCTCCGGCTCCTCCTGCCTGCTGTGGTGAGTGGTCGCGCGCTCCTGTCGTACACGTGCCTGCCGTAGCTATGTTTGTTTCAACCAAAGGTGTCCATTGCTAGACAAAGGCTATCGTAATGATTTCTACAGACTGTTGTGTTGCTCGCATCTCTTTCTTTCTTTCCAATGAGATATGTAACTGTGTTTTTCTGGTAACAGCGGCATGTGCGCCATGTTCCTGGTGGGCGGCTGGTGCGCGGCGGTGCTGGCGGCGTACTTCCTGCTCGGCACCGCGGCCCAGCGCGCCGTCTGCGACCCGCTCACGTGAGTACACTCGGCACCGCGGCCCAGCGCGCCGTCTGCGACCCGCTCACGTGAGTACACTCGGCACCGCGGCCCAGCGCGCCGTCTGCGACCCGCTCACGTGAGTATTATTTAACTTAAACTTTCAAGCGATCAGCTCACATGAGTTCCTCCATAAATTAATCTGTCGTTATGTAATACTATATGAGTCAAAACGGCGGCTTCTCTCCCCACAATAAGTTTGACAGTATTTGACACCACCAATTAATTGACGTGCTTTTATGAACTGTCAAAACGAAACTCCAATAGATTTTGTAAAGCAATACCAGCCTCACTATTTTGCTAACTCAATTAACTTTTTACAAAAGCAACCAAGTCTTAATTTACAGTTGATTAAAAAAAATATTTTTAAGACAAGAATACAATGCGTTTTTTTAAAAGTTTTACTTAAGAATTATTGGTAAATGGTGTCAAATACCCAATTTTAAACTACACACTGCGCAGATGCTGGCAAGACGACGCAACGTTACGACGGACGCTCGAAAGACGTTAGTGTGGGGGGTCCCTGAAGGATTTTTGTTAATTTCTGTTCTATTTCTATTGTACCCATAAGTTGATTGTGTGTCATCAATAGTGCACAGTTTATAATGTTATCTCGTGCCCTTAGCGAGCCGCGCGGCAACCGGCTGTTCGAAGACGTGGACCGGTTCGTGGAGCTGGAGAAAGTACTGTTCAACGAGCGCCGCGAGCCCGGCCTCAACCTCAGTACCGTGCTGCAGGCCTGCCACGCCAACCGCACCATCTACACGGTATGTCTACTTTTATTACCTTTACCAGATCATCGGTCCACTGAGTAAAATCTGTAGGCCTAGGAGGCGCGCCGCGATAAGCTTTTGTCACGCAATTTTTTCGATATTACGCGATAAACCCATACATTTGTCGTCTAAAATCATCGATAAGATGGCGATCGATTTATCACGGCGCGCATCCTAGCCTGGTTGATCGAGATAACTGCGTATTTCGCTGGAATGCGACTCTTCCTCCCACTCACACATAGAGCGTCGATGTGACGTCACATCAGCCAGTGCGCAGTTAATTTGATTGGATTGTAGGTGACCTACATTACATTTTCCGGTCCGTGGTCGCCATTTTTAAACTATCTTACTTCAACGATTATCGGTTCCATATGCTGCGTTCCGTCTATTGCGCCTTTAGTTGGCTATATCGGTTACTCTGGTCTAATATTATTTCAAACTAGCTTTCCGCCCGCGGCTTCGCCCGCGTGGAATTTTGTCTGTCACAGAAAAACAATATCGCGCGCGTATTTGCTCACTGTTTGTTTAGACCTACCCTGGACTACGACAAACATTTTAAAACCAAAATCAGCTCAATCGGCCCAGCCGTTCTCGAGTTTTAATCAGATTAACGAACATTAATTCTATTTTATTTATATAGATTTGTTTTAAGTCTTACTTTGGTATTTATGGATTATATATTCAAACTCAAATTCTTTATTTGCTATAAATTCTCATTTTTATACATTCCAAACCAATAGCAAGTTGCTACAGACGATCAAGTCAAGCATTAAAAGACCATAAACTGGAGCACACAACGCTGACGCACTATCTTCCGCACAGACGCTGCAACTACACCGGCTCTACGACCTGGAAGCACTCGTGGCGGACAGCAAGCGGTCGCTGGCGGCACGCACGGCGCTGCTGCGAGTGGCCGCGCCCGCCGCCGCGCCCGTCACCATCCTCAAGCCCTCCGCCAAGGACAAGCTGCGCCAGCTCGCCGGCACCGGCCTGTCCGACTTCAACTTCGACAAGATACTGCACGCGGTGAGTGTAGACACCTGGAGGCACTAGTAGCGGACAGCAAGCTGCGGGTGGCCGCGCCCGCCGCCGCGCCCGTCACCATCCTCAAGCCCTCCGCCAAGGACAAGCTGCGCCAGCTCGCCGGCACCGGCCTGTCCGACTTCAACTTCGACAAGATACTGCACGCGGTGAGTGTAGACACCTGGAGGCACTAGTAGCGGACAGCAAGCTGCGGGTGGCCGCGCCCGCCGCCGCGCCCGTCACCATCCTCAAGCCCTCCGCCAAGGACAAGCTGCGCCAGCTCGCCGGCACCGGCCTGTCCGACTTCAACTTCGACAAGATACTGCACGCGGTGAGTGTAGACACCTGGAGGCACTAGTAGCGGACAGCAAGCTGCGGGTGGCCGCGCCCGCCGCCGCGCCCGTCACCATCCTCAAGCCCTCCGCCAAGGACAAGCTGCGCCAGCTCGCCGGCACCGGCCTGTCCGACTTCAACTTCGACAAGATACTGCACGCGGTGAGTGGGTGGTGAAACTGACAATGATAGTTGATGTTCAGAAGTGCCAAAATTTAGTCGAAATTGAATAAAAAAAAAATAGATTTTTATTGTGTATATCGGTCGTTTGGTGTAGTGGTTCAGAACGGACTACTATGCCGAGAGGTCCCGGGTTCGATTCCCGGCCGAGCAGAAATTGAAATGATGAATTTTAATTTCTGTGACGCTGGGTGTTTTCTATGTATAATATGTATGTATTTACAAAAAAAAAAGTATTTAAGTATGTTTATATCCGTTGTCTAGTACCCATAGTACAAGCTTTGCTTAGCTTGGGGCTAGCGGCGCAGTTTAAAATGTCCAAGGATATTTTTTTTATTGTCTGTTTCATAAATACCTAAGTGTCAGTTGTTATTTTTATTGAATCGCATCGTAATCGCTGTTGTTGGTTTTGCAGCTGGAGACAAACATGACGTCACTATCGCTGGAGGGGTTGGCGGCTCAACTGAACAGCACAGCATTGGCAGTGGAGGAACGCAGCGGCTACAGTCGCGTGGCGCCCGAACTACGCCGCGCCGCCGCCGCGCTCGCCACCCTGCACCGAGGGATCCTGCTGCCGCTGCTGGCCGACACTGCCGAGCTCAACGTGAGTACACGTGACGTCACAGCTGCGCCGCGCCGCCGCCGCGCTCGCCACCCTGCACCGAGGGATCCTGCTGCCGCTGCTGGCCGACACTGCCGAGCTCAACGTGAGTACACGTGACGTCACAGCTGCGCCGCGCCGCCGCCGCGCTCGCCACCCTGCACCGAGGGATCCTGCTGCCGCTGCTGGCCGACACTGCCGAGCTCAACGTGAGTACACGTGACGTCACAGCTGCGCCGCGCCGCCGCCGCGCTCGCCACCCTGCACCGAGGGATCCTGCTGCCGCTGCTGGCCGACACTGCCGAGCTCAACGTGAGTACACGTGACGTCACAGCTGCGCCGCGCCGCCGCCGCGCTCGCCACCCTGCACCGAGGGATCCTGCTGCCGCTGCTGGCCGACACTGCCGAGCTCAACGTGAGTACACGTGACGTCACAGCTGCGCCGCGCCGCCGCCGCGCTCGCCACCCTGCACCGAGGGATCCTGCTGCCGCTGCTGGCCGACACTGCCGAGCTCAACGTGAGTACACGTGACGTCACAGCTGCGCCGCGCCGCCGCCGCGCTCGCCACCCTGCACCGAGGGATCCTGCTGCCGCTGCTGGCCGACACTGCCGAGCTCAACGTGAGTACACGTGACGTCACAGCTGCGCCGCGCCGCCGCCGATGGCCAAGGATATTAAGAAAGAAAGAAAGATACATTTATTACAATGGACATCACACAAATACAGGCAATTACGTAGACATGACAGTGGCACAAAATAATGGAAGAAGAAAGAATAAAAACAAGAGTAAACTGAGCAGTGCCACCCATTCACCAACAAAGTGACCCACTGCAACGGGACCCCACTCGGCATATGCCGTGACCCACGGTGACGAAGGCCACGACGCTGGTTTTCAGTGTGCCCCATGCCGAGTGAGGGTCACGGACCATTGGTAAATAAATAAAATAGTAAGCTACATAAAATTGTCTAGATAAACATATATAAATAGGAATATTAGTGCACATATAAATACAAAAAGCGGGAAATCGGTAAGGATGATTATTTATTTATTTATATGATTGTTAAAATGTAAATGTGTGTTCGCAGACGACGGCTATGAAGCTACGCGACGGGCTGCGTTTCAACCACACGTCGCTGAAGGAGGCCATCTCCTACCTGCTGTACGAGACCTCGCAGGCTGAGCACTACCTCAACACGCAAGGGCCTGAACTGGTGCAAAATGTATGTATTATAATTTATAATACATTTCTCCTTCTATATATTTAGATAAAAGGTGATCGTTCCCAAACGAAATACCTCTTCAAAATGCCATGATTCCCGTGCGCAAGGTGTGATGCGTAGTGTCGGAATCCCAAATTATTGTCCTAATAAGAAGAAGCAGTTATTCCTGCTCTTCAAGAGAAATAATTATATGTTTCTAAATTGATCTTTTTTATGTTTATTTTTTTAATAAATATTTTTGAACATTTACACTGCGTCATCTAGTCCCAAATTAAGGAAAACTTGTACTATGAGTTCCAGACAGCAGATATAAACATACTTATTTTTTAATTAAATGCTGTATTGATTCTCTTTTCTCCTACAGACGATTGTACAGGTAAGATTGCGGTCAAATACCTGCCTTGTCCTACATAAAAAGACATTGATTTTCTATACCTTACCACGACAATGGCAAGTGGCAACCCCAATGGCTAACATTTGGAACATGTGTTTGCAGATCACTCGTGAGTTCGGCGACGTAGTCTCCACGCTGGTGCAGCAGTACTTGGAGCGACTGCAGGACGCAGCCGAGCACTCGGTGGGGCGCTGCGGGCCGCTGTCCAACGCTTTTAATGCCACGCGCGACGCTGCCTGCCACAAGATTCTCATGCCTTGGGTCAGTAACTACATTTATTTCTTCCTCTACGATTGGCCATCCATAGCCGTAATTAGATGCGTTCTGGGAGCGGATTATTTGACTGGTATTCCGTTGAATAGCAAAGTCAATTACTGGTAGAAGCTCTACATTCTTTCTGACTTTCTGAGTAACCGCATGAAGATTTTTTTGTTTTGTCACCTGTCATCCGCTTTGCACTGGAGGGAAGTCGAATTTTAACTTTGAACTCCTCTTATGTTTACAGTTTTTCTGACTAATTTCGTTGTGAGTCCAATGACAGTTCAACTGTGGTTTAACTTTTACTGGTTGGGTTTTTATTGACGGACAAGCTGTAGATCCTGGCTGTACAGGAGTTGCAGTGGGTGGGATGGACAGGTGGGAATAGCCCCGTTACATGAAGATTTATTTCTAATGCTGTTATTTTTCATTTATTCTAGTGTATTGATAAGAATGAAAAAAAAAGATGGATTGTCCAATACGTCGTTCATACAGTTTTCATAGATTCGACCTCTATAATGGACAACACGCATAAGTTGTAATATTAAGTTAAATTATGACTTAATTTAAAGTTTAGATCACACACATTACACTAGTTTTTATTTCACCTCGATCCATCCAGTATTACCGAAGATAGAGCCTCGAGAAGTTTACGGACATTTTAAAATTTTCAAAACTTTCCAATATTCGCGAGTGACGTCACAACATGATTTTGCAGCCCCCGCACGTTAACCCATTTACCACTTTTTGTCTTTTTCCAACTAAAATAAAATTTTACCTAACTGACAACTGTTGTTAGTTGTCATCGTTCAATCACATTTCAAACTAGGCGCTAAAAAAGTAACCATTATTATGCCACCTATTGCCAATTTTGTGCACTATGAAGCCATTTTTACATTTATGCACTTAAATATAAATTTTCTGGAAAAATAACCAATAAGGTCTCTGTGCTCAATAACGAGTAAATAGTCCAGTTATTTGTGAATTTTACTTGGAAAGTTTTCCGGAATTTTTGAAAATTGGTGAATAAATAGATTTCGCTATGTTCTTTCCGAATTTTGTGACCTCGTTTAATGTACCTGCTAAATTGCGAGTTCTTTTTTCTTTGATCATGGCAGGACACGCTGCCGGGTGTCCTAAATATGCTTCTGAATGAAGTGATTAGTTTTAAGTATGATACATAATAAAATTAGTTACATAAAGTAATATACGATTTACTTATTTTTCAAGACATTTTCCTATTATTATTACTGACGGGATTGCTACCATGTACCTTAGTTTTGAGTTTCCAATATTTCAGCACTGTTGCAAGCGCTATGGTCACGGAGTAACTGAAGAAATTAAAACCAGACGTCGTTCAGATGTGCGTTCAAAAGACCTGAGATTTAAAAAAATCCCACGTTTTGTTTAAACAGTAAGCGAAAAAAAAGTGACTTAAAAATGGAATACAAAATGATAAGGTATGGTAAATGATAAGTCTTTATCAATGAAGAAGCAGAAGTTCAATTTCATGTGTCCTCCATCTAGGCTAGTTTCCATCGTCACTCAAAGTTTGGCTGCGATCTCAAATTTGGGCTTAATTGAGGTATTTTTTGGGTGAGAGGCATAACAACTAATGCCATTTTATATCAAAAATTCATACTTAGAGGTACTCAACCAGGTACAAAGTATTTCCTTGTATGTTAGTCTGCCACTCTTTAGCAAGTCCCGAAATCCCCGCTTCGGCTCCCCTACTAACCATTCTAACCATTGCACACAGATAATATCTTACATGCAGCTTTTCATGTTACTACGTCACATTTTCAAAATCCGCGCGGAAAATTGCTCCTAGCGGAAGAGCGCACTTTGAGCTTGAATATTTCAGTCATTTTTAAAGATATCAAAAAAGTAAAAATACAGTATTCATTCTAATTTTTTGTAGTTTTTTTTGGCATCTTCAACAAAAATTGTGCGCCATGTCCATTGGAGTTTATTATACTCTGATGATTAAAGGATTTTTTTTTATTACAAGCTTTTATTTAATTTAAAATAAACTTTAATATTCTTGTGGAACGCGTGAGTCCACACCATTCGTCTAGCGGCGGTGGGGTTCGAACCCATGTTCCTCAGCTCTCTATTCGACCAGCCCGACACGTATTTTCGACGGCTATTGTTCGTCATTCGACATTATAACGGGTGGTGTATTCCAGAACGGCTACTGGATGTCTCTGGCGTGGTGCGTGGCGCTGCTGGTGCCGCTGATGCTGGCGGGCGCGCGCCTGGCGCGCCTCTACACGCACGTCGACCCCTACCCCGGCCCGCTGCACGAGGCGTGAGTACACCCTATATCACGTCGCACACACACACACACACACACACACACACACACACACACACACACACACACACACACACACACATGTTACATCACTCTACCTACACACATAAACAAGTAGGGTGGGTGCACCAGTCCCACACCAGGAACCAGTAGTACACCATTTCTAATATCACATCAAAATATTAACAATCTGTCGAATTTCCCGCCACTTTTGTTTCGTTTGGTAGCACTGCCGTACTTCTACCAATCATTAGTCATAAATAAAAGCGACAAATACGACTTGGTACGATCTGGTCAACCTTAGGCGCATTGCGACTTTCCACATTGATTGTTAAATAAAAATAAACCTTACAGCTATTAAGAAAAGCTTATTCCAATAAGCTACTTGATTCTATGATAGACAAGGAGTAGTTAATTCTTTTTTTTGCAATGATTGCTGTAATAATTGAGTCACAATATCAAAAATACTTTTAAAATGTCGCTTATTCGGTTTGTTACTGGTACACCCACCCTACTAAAATTTTACATTACCACACGTCTCCAGTAAAAGCCTTTTTAAGCAACGGCATCTTAGCTGAAATACGTGAAATGATGACACAGACAGAAACTGCAAATTAAACTATGCTGTAGCGTGAGATGGATGTGGGAAACCACGCCCACTGTCGTATCCGAATTCTTGGAGATACATACAGAATGTTAAACAAATTACATATAAAAGGATACGTTAGTCAGTATGCGTCAGTATTTTTCAGCTATCTTAAATTTTACAAGGGCCACTCAACGTGTGACAAACTTTATCAATTTAATTTCAAAATAGTTAAAATCTTAAAATACATAACAGTCTAAAACACTTGTTCCATTATATTGTCATAAAGCAAGCATTACCATTTGCACATGGAATCATGAATTATAAGTATAGCCTGACCAGGAACATAAAAACCCTCGCCATGTTGCGGAAAACTAATGGTACTAATTTCTTTTAATGGCAACAGTAACTGAAAACTTCATTGACATGTCACCTTGCATGTCAGTCTATTGTTGTCAAAGTGTAAACAAACTTTATTTTAAATGTTTGCAATTGATTTTGTGAATTAAATTGCTAAAATATTTTTATAGTCGTGAAAGAAAAGTGGTTCACAATGTGTTAATGTATTTGTCGAAGAGAAATACCAAGGGTTCGGACAATATTTTCATTGAATAATGTTTCCGACAAAGGTTGTCAAATTGACTGACATGTTTATCGTATAGTACAGTCCACTATGAAAATTAGCTGTAGTTTGTTTCAACTACCTATTTTAAAGTTTTTTATCACTTTCTAAGTTTTGAAATTTATGGAATTGGGAAAGAAGTACCGAGTTTGAAGCGTTCATGAGCAGACATTGCAGTTGAATATTCAAGTTCTGAATTTGATTATTGATGAATAATAAAATAAATCCTACTAGCTCGATTGATGGTTTCATTTAATTTATTTAAACCAGGTTACCTTTAATAATATTTTTTCGTTAATTTATGAAAATATCAAATTAGCCCGTAATCCTGAATCCTGATACATAAATTTAGCCTATTAATTTAACACAGGTACGACTGTACTCAGTGTTGCACTATCAAATGCAACTGACACGCCTCTATGCCAGGGTTTTTATGTTCCTGGTCAGGCTATAACAACAATATCCACGCTATGAGCACGAATGAAGCAAGTGATTTACCTACACTACACAATCGTACCAAATGTTACCTAATTTCACATGCTGCTGTCATAAAAAAATGATTGAACCTGTCACGTGTCACCGCTGCAGCATTATAATGTCAGTAACTGCACGCGCACAAATGTTTCAGCTTCAATTGTTTTTCTATGGCGCCATGTTGTTGTCGAGTCTCGTTTGGACGTAGCCACAAAATTAAATGACTCACTGCAATCAAGTGTTATCATAAATGTGATTTAATAACACCTCTTCCACATACAATCATTGGAAAAGGACTCGCACCAAAGTCAATCACATTTTTGGCTATGTCCAAACTTATGGACTCTTTTTGTGTATAATGATTCTGTTGTCGCCTCTGCGCTCACAAGCCCTTGTGACCGGAAAGGCGTTGTGTCGGGCTAGGAGATCATTCATTCATCATCGTTTTATTCGAATTGTTTGCAGTTGTGTTGCATGATTGTTATTACAGTTCCATCACTAAACTCATTCCTGTAGTGCGTTTGTATTGGTGATTCGTGGGCGTTGGGGCTGTTAATTAAATGAGGGTTTTCGCGTATGAAAAATCCGCCAAATGGCAATATGTAGACGCAAGGTCCAAATGCTGCATGATTGGTTATTTTTGACATGACATTGACAAATATGTCAAAATCCACCAATCACGCAGCAGTCAGACCCCACATCCACGTCCCGCCATCTAGTGGATCTTTCATACGCGAAAACCCTCATTATCATAATAATCGCTAATTTGCCATTACTAATGGTAGGTTACGTATTCCAGTCAATATTATTTAGCGCTGCTGCTACTGCTTACTGAAGTCTATAAAATAAAGGAATTAATTATGGCTTTTCTAATTTATTTATAAAAAAAATATTAAAATATCATGATAATAAAAATATCATTAAAAATAAAGAGGGGTGGATAAGTATTATTTAGCTTTAATCACTCGACGCATGCGAATCACTAATACCGCTCTGCATTATAACTAGAACAAGTGGAGACTGCAAACAGTTCACTCGTTTCTCTTTCTGTTCCTTGTTTCGTTTCAGTATTTTATTTCGGATTGTTTATTTGTGTGTTAACGTTCAGTTGTCGTTTGATGTGTTGGGTTTGTTGCACCCCATGCCCCGCCTCCCCTCCACCGCCCCTGTTGCCTGAGAGAGTGGGGTTATATCCATATCTACGTAAAGCACTGCCATTTTGAACAAAGTGGCCAGTAACATAATTATTGACACGGTGATCGCCCGATATTATTTTTAAAGCTTGCAATGGATCTAAAAGCTATGAGAATTCAAATAAAAGGTTATAATTACTACAAACTTCATTAGTACTTAATATAAAGATCCGTAAATTTATCTTTCTGAAGCCCGGTCTGTGAGCACGTAGAATTTTGTCCAATGAACCCAAGCTCGCGCGTAATTATATTGCTGTCGCGACTGTGCGACGGGCGCCCGCAGTGAGTGTGCGAGCGCTACAGCAACATAATTACGCGCGAGCGATAAGGATGGGTAGCTTGGGGTCATTGGACAAAATGNTGACCGTCAGCGGGACTCAATATTTAAGCGAACTTTGAATGCCTATAAAATCATAACTACTGGGTATTTTTGAATGAAATAAAAACTAATGTATTTGTAAATGTAAAAGCTTAACTGTAACATAGGTTTCAAGTGATTTTGCATACCTAGTAACATTCTCAATTCGACGTGTTTGCAGACCAGACTATAAATAAGATGAGGACCAATATCTGAAACCTTTATCATTATTGTGATAGTTCAAAGTTCTAGTGGCGTTTCATTTACATGGAGTTTGAAGGTTGCTTGAAATGTTACTTTCTGGGCGTTAGCCACACTCTCTCAGTAAAGGAATGTCGTCTGTAGCGCCTCTGCGATTGGTTACACGTTCGTCTAGTCTCGAGGACAACAATTGAGGTTGAAGAGCCGCTGCGTATACTAATGTTAGTTACTATATTCGGGTTCGAAACAAAAAACACACACACACTTAAAACGAAGTAATTTTGTATTGTGATACATTGAACAAATAAACAAAAATGTTTGTAAATTTTATATTCTATAATACTACTACTATACAGATTGTATATTTACTATAAAATTATGTTACTAATCAACCGAGTGACGGTGATTGGCAAAAATGGATGTACCCCATTTATAATTTAAAATATTTTGAATTCAACTCTATTAACTCAACAAGGAAAGGTTTTATTTATTACTTTTAGTTTTATACTTTGAGAGAGGGTACATAGTTTTATTTCAGTTCGTTTATTTAGTTTTCACTCACCACCATTACGTTATAGGTTTGAAAGAAAAGAGAATTTGTTCCCCGAAAAGTAGTTTTAGGTTCGTTGATGTGTGGTCCGACAGCAAATACATGAGCCAGGTCGCGAGGGCGTTGAAGTCTATTTGTTTGGCAATATAAAATGAATAAATAATTTGATATTCGAAATGCGAATCGAGCAATTATTTCGCATAAAACTTAGTTCCCAAGCTATAGTCTGGTCCGTGAGCACGTAGAATTTTGTCCAATGACCCCAAGCTGCCTATCCTTTTCGCTCGCGCGTAATTATGTTGCTATCGCGCTCGCACACTCACTGCGGGTGCCAGTCGCACAGTCGCGACAGGAAAATAATTACGCGCGAGCGATAAGGATGGGTAGCTTGGGGTCATTGGACAAAATTCTACGTGCTCACGGACCGGGCTTTACCTCTTAAACACTTATTTAACTATGAGGTCTATATTAAAATTGTGGTCAAAGCCAATCGCGAGGCGAGTGTATCAGTTGTGGGCCCATGGTCGCTCGCGCGGGACTGAGCTGGCGTGTTGTTGGCAGCGCGTATGAGCCGATGCGCCGGCGCGGGCGCTGGCGGTGACGCGGCGCGCCGGGTAACGCGTCCGAGCGCGCGCGCGAGCGGTGCGCGCGAGCAGCGGCCGGTAGTTGCCCGCACACCCGGACCTAGTAATAACAGAGCTCGTGTTGCCAGGTCCATTACGAAAATAAACATTCCAAATTGTGGTTTTTACTAGTGATGGGCCAACTCGGGAAAAACAAAACTCGATTTAACCCGAGTTAAAATCCACGTAACACGGGTTGAACTAGAGTTAACTGGGTGGACAAGTGAATGTTTTTTTTTTAATTTTTACCAGCTTATTCCCTCGAGATTCGCAATAACAGTTTTAAAAAAATATATAATTATATTATTTATTTATAATGAATTGGGAGAATCATACTAACTAAACTTAACTAAAGTAAGAAAGAAAATTATTGTTTGAAATAGAATAATTTATTCATGTATTTTTGGATTGAATTTTATTTATAAAAAATATTTATATTTATTATCACTTGGCAATTTTCAAAAATAGAACATGAAACACGAAAATCTACAACAATAACCGGCAGTTTAAAGTTAATTTCAAACCTACATTATATTGTAACACTTGTTTGTTATGAATGGACGAATGAACATAGTCTCATCACTCAAATGATCGGCAAACTTCGCTCCATGTCGGTTCCATTCGGTTTACGATACGAACTGGAGTCAGAGAGAATTCAACTCGAGTGGGTTCGAGTTACGCCCAACTCGAGTTACTTACTCAAGTTGACCATCACTAGTTTTTACACCGGGAAATTGACAATATCTTTTTATCCACGCTATTGGGGCTCTGAATCAGTATTCGGTCCATGCAAATGCCTGAGCAACTTCACTGTTACCAAAATTCGTAGTCTCAGTCGAGACTGTAAATGACACCTTGCAACACTCCTCACAGCTCACTCTGACTCATGAATGCCTGGTATCTTTTGAGTTTCAACATCGAAGCCTACATAAATACAGTGTAGTGTTCATATAGTCATTTATAACGAAATCGCTTTAATTCATTGCCAGACCACTTTGCGTCTTAAGTGTCGATACATAAGGCGCGTATTCCGATGGTGTTGATTGGTGTGCTCGGATGACTATCGGCCGGGGCGCGGCGGCCGCGCGCGGCTCTTCGACCTCTTGCACGCTCCTGCGGCCCCCGCCGCCGTCCATTAGCTAATAGCTGTCCTGCCCGTGTCGTACCGTGCTTGTCCGTGTTACTCCCGCTTTGAAACCGTGTTTATGTTGTGATGTAGAAAGTTCTGGAGTATCCCCAATAATATTACTTTTGATTAGTAGAAGTTAGAAGTTCAAATATATTTGACAAGTGACTCAAGTGTCTTGTTTCACAAGAAGCTTCAGAAATTACTTCTTTTTGTTTTCTTTTAATAATTATGTACATTTTTGTCATTAAATTAAATAGATAACTAATTAGTTGTTGTACATCTATGCTTTCAATGTTGTACTTTTAAATCTATGAATAGAGCGTGTTTGTTATGGACGGCGGTAGGCAGGCGGTTTGTTGGTGTCGTGTGCGTAGGTAGATGGCATGCGCTAGCGTCCCGCCCACTGTACTCGAGCCAGTCGCTGTATAGTTCATGTTGTCACTTCCGTTGCTCGCGACTGTACTGTACATACGCCCGTAGCACTTAGTGTCATGTAAATAAGCCCCTTATTGTTCAGTTGTTACTATTCGTTTGTTTTCTTTTGTTCATCATCATCTCTCATCCTATAAATAAATACGATATACATAGCTTATTATGTACTAATTTATTATGTAGTAGTTCTAAGAAAGTCATGATACTTAGCTTATTTGGAGGCAGCAATAGCTATTGGTGTTTTATATCTTTTGAATAGCAATATTTTTCATGATATGATTAACGACAAGAAAGTCAGTATTACTATTTTCTCTTTATAATATTAGTATAGATCTCAGACTGATCCGATCATCATTCTACTGCTAGTCTTTCCAAAGATCTCCATACTTTTTAAATGTTCCCTTTTAAGTAGGTAGATCCAAACCAAAGCATTCGATCACATCGCAAGACATCCCGTGTCTGATTCCTAATCCGTCGTCTCACCTAATCCCACATGACACATTCCCATTATTGCCAAATCCAAATAACCTTAAGCTCTTGGAAAAATGCTGGTTTTGAAAATAATGGGAGCGTGTTTTATCGTGTGGATAGTCCAGCGTCGGCCCGCTCGTGGCGAGGGTTGACTGACCGTCTGTTGTCTGTTGCAGCGAGTATTTGTATGACGCGTACGCAGACCGCGATAACGTACCCCTTGCCAAGTAAGTGCCCCACCCGCCCCCCGCTGCATGCGCTTGTCACTGTGACGTGCCCCCAGCCCCACTGGACTCGATCGGGGGGCTGAGTGCACCTGCATGAAACCTAGTCTCTGCCTTTTCCTTTTTTCTTATTGCGGTTGAGGTTTTTTCTTATAGCATAGGTTTTTTGACAACTTGTAATAGTAGGCGTTTTATTAGAAAACTGATATCGGTACAAGGGTACGGGACAGACGCATGTGTTAAGCGGCATGTTCGTACTAAACCCGGCATGTTTCCGACCGGATTCCCGCATGCAGGACCCGTAGATTTGTTTACTTTCATTTCGTTATTTAAGTTCATTTATTTTGATGTTACTTTGGAGTAGGGCCTAGGCAGGTTTTAGGGCGTGACACCCCCGGGTCGGGACCGTAAAAGTTGCAAACGGTCCGCTGAATTCGTTCAGGAGAAGCGTGGCGTCAGTCGGAGTTAGCTTTTTTAGATAAAAAGTTTGTTCAGTAGATATTTATAAACGCCAACTCGGACGTGACTGTCAATCATATGTCAGTTGTGAAATTCGGCATCGGGGGTGTCACTCGCGAGTGTGTGTTGTCCAAAATCGTGACGGGTCGCTGCGCCGCAGCGGATCGAAGCGCAGCACGCTCGACATCGAGGGCAAGATCGCGGAGTGGCGCGGCCGCAGCGCGCCGTCGGCCCCGCTGGCCTCGCCGCCGGGCGGGGTGGCGGGCGCGGGGGGCGGGTCGCGCACGCTGCTGGTGGCGGAGGGCGCGGAGGTGGTGTGCCAGCTGGTGCCGGCCGCGCTCATCGACGACCTCAAGACGCGCCTCGACGCCAAGGACGAGGACAACGAGTCCGGCATCCACGAGTCCGAGTAGCGGCCGCGGCCACCAGCTTTGGTTACCAGCTTACATCGGTTGCAGGATTTGATGAGGGCTCGATTCATTTTTTAACTAAATTATTTAGGAAACTGCAAATTCAGTTCAGTGTACTCGTTTGCTCTTTATGTAATAAGTTAATAAGACGGAGCTCTGCTACCAAATTTAGACGAATTTAGTTAATTTTTGAAGTAAACTCTCCATAAGGCAAATTTTTATTTGACAGCACAAATGTCATGGACCGACATTTTTAGAAATAGGGTGTACTTATAATTAGTGTTTTCACGTGGAGTCGAGTCCAATATTTGTTTTTAAATTGTTAGAAATGTTCTGCCTCGGCAGCCAAAATTTGTTTTATAGGAATTCGTGAAACGAATAATTTCTTAACATAATTTATTATTAGTCAATGACCTGGTTTTCGAATCGAACAGGTTCTAAACGTAATAAAATATCAAATGAATAGGTTAGGAAAAATTATGAAAAGTTCGCACGCTTCGCGCTTGACCACGTACGTCCGCTCCGTTACTCGACCGCTTGTGCCTCGCCCACAGTTACTCTAGCTGACCATAGTGCAACAGAGCAGTAAGCCGACTCGCAGTAATAGAGAATATTTATACAATCTTAATCCGTATAACTTTTTCTCAAATGCAATACGCAAAGACATTCCGGTTCTTTTTGATCTAAGCGTTTATACGAGCTCTTTTATAAGAGCCATTTCAATGGACATGAGAATTAGCGCCATCCAGCTGGAACTACTGGAAGTTCTCAAACTACATAGTTTTGTTACACTAATCATGAAGGCTCTATTATACGGTCGGCTTATTGATATTTATTTTCAAAGAAGTAATAGTAGTTGAACGGTCAATAAATATACAAACATTATGAATCCGTATACTAACCGCAACGCTCGTACAATATTGATCTCATATTATACAATATACATGTCTATCCATACTGTAGCGTGTACTGGTAAGGTTTTTGAACTGTTTTGAAGGTATTTTGATATGAAGCTGTATATTCGCTAGCTGGACAAGGGCCCGTCCGTTTACATGAGGTCACTTGTCGTGACTGATTTTTGAAATTTTGAAGTCCAAAACGTGCTTTGCGCTATCGAAATAAATACACACGTAGATAGGTTCAGAGTAATAAATTATAATAATAAAGTAATCGAATTGTTTATACATTTACATACTGTATTTTAATGAAATTGACAGTATTTGATGTTGTGGTACAGCGTCATGAATGTCCATTAGCCATTTTTAAATATCCTCATCCAATAACGAATAGGATAGAGAATATTTAATAAATAAATTATTACGTTATATAAAAATGCTTTACATTTAACACTAGAGTACACGCGCGGACTACTATAGTAGACCAGGGTAACATTTTACGCTATAACTTTTTGAAAACTTGCGCCAGAGAGCTGGCATTCCAGGAAAGCCTCGTTTACTAAATTTGTCAGTAAGCCAGTAAAGCTTGGGTCGCTAGAGTCTGCGCACTTTTCTAAAATCGGCCGTCAAAACTGCGGGTCTACTCAAAATCCCGAAATCACTCGACAAAAAAATTATGAAAGACTTGCAAAAAATGGATTTACACCGTGTACCAGGCAGTAGAAAGTCATGAATACTATGATAGATAAAAAACTAATCATATTTTTTCAGTAAATTATTTTTTTGATAACATTGGTCTCAGAGTGCAATTTTGGTCCAAAAAATTTACAACTTTTAAATCTGTTTAAAATGTTTCATTCTTAATAGTTATATAAAGAAACTTTATTTATAAAATAACTATAATAAACACTTTTATCAATTACATAATAATTTTATTCATAAATTGCTTACAAACTGATTTACAGTGATTTTAAATTGGCTTACCAGAGTAGGCCGCGCGTGTATTCATGTAAAAAAAGGGGCGCGTGTACTGCAGTGTTAATCAACTTACTGCATTTACATAAATAGTCTAGGAATAATATTGAATCAGTTTTAAAATAACACCCTGTATATGACTTATTTGGAATTTATGGGGACCTTGAAGTAACGTCATATCGAGATAAATATATCAACTTAAGGTTAATGTGCATTTAAGCAAACTAGGAATCTGAGTAAGTTGCACTGAAGTGAATTGATGTAGTTGTTGTGAATATACTCGTACGTGTTTATTAAGAATTGTATGTCGTTTGTATGTTTTTATCTCTAGGGTATTTGATGTATACCGTCTTTTATATCCATTTATAATATTTCTCTCTAATATTGTATCAATGTATTCCATTAAGTAAGGACATTTTGTCACACGTTTATACCTACATTGTAAGGTAACAATATTAGGGTAAGAATTGCAACACAGATTAGACATTGAAATAAATCTGGATATAGCTCTTAGGTAACAAAATTTGCTGGTATACAAAATTCAATTATACGTCCAGTACACATTTATTAATGTTCTGGGGAATGCACAAAATCTGTGTGGGTAGTGTTAGTAATCGTTAGTCCACTAGCGCCACGGGCCGGCCGCGGCCGCACTCGGTAACCGACACTTGCTTGCTGCGTGAGCACATCTTGTAACACATTTTAGTTCGAGTTAGTATTGATATGATTATACCGGACTGGACTCGATTCCAATGTGGTTTACTATGTATAGAGTAATATTTACAACGTTGTACATTTATAAACTCTAATCCCTTTTCATTGACTAATAAATGGTGTGTTTGATGATCAGCTACAAACATGGAATCGAGACACCGCGCTGAAATACTGACTCGAATTAAATTGTAATTTGATTTTAAATAGATTTAAATTATGTCCGGTATCGAAAGATTATTCAATAACTGGTTCTTTGTTATCTGTCTGATCATGATGTTTGTTTATTTATGTAATTACTTTAATTAGTTACTTAGCTCTAGTAGAAAGGAACAGACAGGGAACAAAGGGTAGGTAAGTATGGTTCCTTGCAAATAAAAAAATGGTATCCGGGGTGTTTAAAATTTTTAAAACATGTTTCCTTAAAATGTATATAATATGTACTTTCCTTTTGAATACTTTTATTTAACATTTGTTGTGTTATTTACAAAAAAAGGTTAAAAATTATAATATCTAAAAACTTAAAAATGTGAGTTAGTAGTATTAAAATCACTAGGACTCGTTTCATAAGACTTCGTATTGCTAGATTCTGTGGCTTTGATTACCTAACGCCTATTTGGATATTCATAAACGACCGCAACTACATTTTACATTACTTTGAGCGATTCCTTTAACTGTTTAAATTCTTGAAACAATTTATATTTTAACAAAAGTTTTATTGTATCGTTTATGGATATTTGTGAAAAAAACGCCGCCTATTAACAAACTGGTATTTCTTCATGGCTTGTGGTGGTGACTGCTTTTCATGTTTTGTTGTTAATTTAAATACAAATGACTCTAATTTTATTTAAAAAAAAAAATGTTGCATTCTCAACATCTTTTGTATCAAATATCGTTTCATTCTTGTGTCCAATGTATCCATACTTTCTTATGTGAATATTTCAATATATTATTCAATATAAATTTAGGGTCATGTATGTGTTGAATATTGTCTGAAATATCCTCGATAAGCTTTTTACAGTCGTGTCAATAATTCATGTACATGTGTTATCGCAACCCTCATAGATAAAGATAACAATTAACACTGTCATTTCTTAATTAATCTCTAAAATATTTAAATAATATTATTTCCCATTTTATTTAGTCTAGCAGATATAAAATATTAGAAATTAGAATACGGCTATTTGACAGATGTATTACTATTATTTTGGTGAATTTAATTAAACACGAGCATGACCATTTTTTTCTGTGATAGGACTGTAGACAGTTTGTCGATTTAAGCTAAGTATTTATTTAAACGGGATTGAAATGGTAGCTTTCGGGGCTCAACAAGAAATAATTACAGTATTTATTGTTGTGGGATTTAATTTATAGTTGTGGCATAACTTCAACAAAATAGGCTTGATAAAAAGAGATGCCTTTCTGTAACCGGGGATAGTTTTCTTTGGGAAAGAGGAAAGAGCACGTTAGCCGCCATTTCTAATCCTGTTTCGTCCCAAGTTATAATAATTGTCTGTAATGCGCAGCGCCTACAAGGCCGAAAAGCGCGGAGGACGCAGCCGGCCCCACGCGGCGGGGGAGGCGCGCGGCGCGGGGGCGGGGCCGGCGCTGGCCACGCCTCTCGACGCACACGCGCGCAGATATAATGATATGGCGCCAAAGTGAGTACACGCTGCACCTTATGCTGACTGCCACGAATGGACAACTACTGTAATGTAACGGTTAGCGTTACCGCTGACCGTTATCTTAGATCTGAATTCTAATTTAATTACTATTATCTACCTAAATAAATATACTTAAATAATAAAATATCTAAATCTACGTAAACTAAACATTCATGAAAGCTGTCTTGTCTAACTACAACGAACCGTCTCACGTGATATTGTCAGGGGGCGCCACCGTTAATACCGGACAACAGGTTCCGATTTTTGCCATGTTGGAAACTATGTAGTTGAACGATGGTGGCGCCTCCCTGTCAATGAGTTTGGTGGGACAGTTCAGTGTAGGTCATCTATATTACAGCAGCATGTCTATGATAGTTGTCGATTCGTGTCAGCCACATAGCATCAATATTTTTACTTTATTCCTTAACGGTGAATGTTTCTTTGCACTAATACCAGTCCCTTTTGTACCCTTTGCACCACCGGCCTGCACCACTGGTGGTGCAAAGGGTATTTTTTAATCCCTTTTGCACCACCAATAGTGCCGCCCTACCATTAACTGTAAAACGATTATCGATAATCATATAATATTAATATTATAAAGAGGAAAGATTTGATTGTTTGTTTGTACTGAATAGGCTCCGAAACTACTGGACAGATTTGACAACATAACATAAAAATTAATAACAACCATTCATACCTACATACAACGAATAATTCCTAAAGTACCAGGGCAACATAATCATAAAGGAGCTATATCAAATTCTTCTTGGTTGACCCGAGAAATAAACATCATGTATCATAAAATAGCTCCTTTATGGTTATGTTGCCCTGGTACTTTATTCGTTGTATGTAGGATGTAGGCCCGGGGTATCGTGGGTCTGAAGTGAAATGTTTAAATAGGCACTTACACACACACAAATTAAAACTTTTAGGTAGGTTTTGGTTTATTTATAACAATTAAATTATTAAGTATTTTACAGTATACTACTAGTTTTACAGTCGATGGTAGCACAGCACTATTTGTTGGTGGTGCAAGAGGGATTTAAAAATACCCTTTGCACCACCAGTGGTGCAGGCCGGTGGTGCAAAGGGTACAAAAGGATACCAGTCTGCTGGCTGATAACAGAACTTGCATTCTGATCATATTCTATCAAAATTCTTCACTAATCACCGAGATTTGACTACTCAATTTAAAAGCAATCTATTTATCTGTGGTAACCCTAACTACAACCCGATCGAGTTAACTGCGTACCTTGCTGGAATGCGACTCTCCCACGCATTTCACCGCATTCTCCCGATCCGTACCAGAGCGTCGATGTGACGTCACGGCAGTCAGGAGCGCAGTTAACCGACCGGCTTGAACTAACAATGTGCAATGACACAATCAGTTTTGTCTTGTGGCACATACGTTTACCAAATCATATGTCAAACTTGTTGGCACCCATGTCTCCAATGTCCACGCTTGCGCCATCGCACGCACGCTGACGGGATGTGTGTTGCAGGCACTGGGAAGAAGGGCCTCCCCGCTACCACGGCCCTACTGAGTACGAGCGACCCCCACCCTACTACTATCCCGGACCAAAGTGAGTACACGCACCATTTTATTCGCTAGACAAGACACCTTTATTCAATACATAGCGAAAAGAAAGATATAATCACAATTTAGGTATTTGTGGAATTTAATTATCAAAATATGTAGTTACTTAATTAATTTTACAGTTTTTGTAGCGATAGGAGATTTAATTTCAAAAAGGCAATCGCTCGCGAATTAGTTTGTACGAAACCTTTTTATTCTGCTGTATTACTAAGACAGTGCGAGGCAACGCTTCTGTTCTTTGATGTCGTCGAGCGAGAGGTAACAGGCCCGTTTGACCATGTCCCGTACGACTAGCCCGTAAAATTTTCGAGTTCGTATCGTTTGCGTATTTGAATCGCCATCAAAAGATTTAGTACGAAAACTACAACAGCGCCCTTGTGAACGTGTCGTAAAGTAAACTTAGTATGAGAAATGGTTGCACGAAACTTATTTTGAGAATCAAAATTGTCACGTTTTATCGTTTAATTCGATGGTTGAGTAGGTATCGAATTTTATCGAATACGCAAACGATTTGTAGACGAAAGTTGTTCATGCTAGAGGTACAGAAATGATATTAAGTCGCGTAGGGTCCTCGATACTAAACACCCTGGGCGTCCACAGCATCCCGAGGGCGCAGCGCCGCCGCTCCACCTACGACTATTATTACTAGCGGCGGACTAGGTACCTGGCAAGTTGTTGCACCTCACGGGTCACCGCTGTTGTCTTAGCACACCGGGGCTTTGTCTATGTTCTCACGAGCGTTGTGGCTACATGCTCAAGTTCATACATTGATCACAGCTCAGTCGCAAACTAAGCGGGAATATCTTTCTCACGGACATTATGCTTATCGTGAATAATGATTAAAGGGGGAAAAAAGTAAATTAAATAATTGATCCCAACTGCTATAAATAATTTAGATTATTTAAATATGTCCAAAATGTTGTATGATGAAAATCATTGAGTCATGTATAGAAGTATAGATTCGTTAGGTTACACACGAAAGGTAAGAAAAACATAATAATGTTAATACAAAGGATTATATTGATATTTATACTGTTCTTTACCTACCATTCCCACCTACCCAAGCTGTAAGAATTCAAGACCTCTGTTCAGATTCCAAGGTTCCGAGACTGGTTCCGTGCTCTAAACAGACGGTCCTGAAGTAACACAGTGCGAGCTCCGAGGCCGAGTTCCGTGACCTGAGGTTCCTGGCCAAGTGTTCCGCGTTCGTTGTCGAGTCCGAGTTCCGCGCCCGAGTTCCGAAGGCCGAGTTCCGAGTCCGAGGTGCCGACTGATTGTGCTTAGTTCCTCTACGGGGCCGAGTTCCAAGTCGAAGTTCTGCGGAACAGTAGCAGAGTCTGAATTTCCAGCTTCAAGTTTCCCGTTGCCAAATCCAAATCCCAGTTATATCGATTTGACACAATAATTTTCACTGCAATTTCGGGACCAGAATATTATAGTAAAAAAACTTCAGTAATATTTCTAAAAAAAACTTTATACTCGATTCTGTTATTGATAGATAATGTAACCTAACGAATCTATTGTTTTAGAATCAAAATATTTTGTAATTTTCCTTTGCTTTTAAAAATTTGACCAGTTTTGGGTGGGCGAGAAGTAATATACCTACATAGATACAGACAGCACATCAGGCGATCAGACTATACATTTTTGTTGCAAAATCACTCCTATTACAAGGGCAAAGAGGCCACAATGCTTGGCTTGATGTGCCGTCTTCTGTATTCAACCCCTGTAAACATAGGTTTGATTTTATGTATAAGAAAATACAATGTAAATTGAAATGTGTTTGCATTATGTATTCGTATCATTTCCATTTATTTATTTTTGTCTTTTGCTTTAAATGTTTTGGGGTCACCTTTTTATAGTTTCACCGTTGTTATTTTTCTATTTTTGCTTTATTTTTGTTTGTAAAATATTGATGACCTTGTTAGCAGCAGATCCAGGTGCTTAAACACCCCAGTTTTCTCTATAGGTCTAATACCCTATTTAATTTGCTGATCAGTTGTTACGTTTTTTTTTATAATTTACAATGTATTATTAGAGGAAAATTGGCGTGTTATAGCATCAAAAATTAGTGGTTAATAAGTTATTAGTATTTGTACTCATTACTTTGTAAAGTTTATATGCGTCGCTTACATTCTAATGGGTCAACTCTCTTTAGTCATTCAAAGCATAGTTCGGAGATTTTACAAAAAAGAAAACGCTATTTATGTGAACCACTCTCACATTGCATATGACTGCGTTGCATTTGGGTAGAACACACGTTCGGTTTATAAAATATTAATATGTGTTTATTTATTTTTCAGTGATAGACAGTAAACTAGCGCTCACGGAACTCGACGAAGACCTCCTGAAGTACTGAGCCCCGCGCCTGCCGCGACGCGTCGTGGACCCAGACAGATGAAACGTGTAACAATATGTAATGTGCAAACTATTGTACGTGTTATATCACAGATATAGTATTTTTCCATAATATTACGAGGCCGTAAGTTGGATGCGTACGCTCCAAACGATTTGTGTCAGAGTGATTACTCAGATATAAAATAGAATATGATACTTACGTAATGTCCTTCTTCTGTCTAGTTATAGTTAATGAAAGTTCAAGACTCGTGTAATTTTGTATGAAAGATACATTTACAAATGTTTCGAATCCACCATTTCAAGCAATTGTAAGTGTCGGGTGCGTAGATCATAGGTCTGATGAATATGTGATGGAATCTTATTCGTATGGTGTATAGGCGTATTCAATATTGTTCACTCAAATGTAGTAGTTCCAATATGTAAATAAGGTAGGTTAAGTAAGCGCAAGAAACAGTCACAGTAACTGCCATATCTCGACTGTCCGATGTTTACGTTAGTTCGGCCCGTCACTCTTACGGCTCAAGTTGTATCGGCGGCGTCGGCTGCGTTGGCTTTAATATTTTTTTCAGAATTTAATACTTTATATTCGTTGGAAGCGGGATACGATCACCGCACAAGTTTCAAAATCTGAGAGATTCGATATTATGTTAGCGTAATTTTAGGTAAATTAGGGTTCTGTCATTTTTCGCGCGCTCTCACTCGACTCTTCCACTTGTACCCCTTGGACTGAGGCGCGTGAAAATTGACGGAGAGTTAGGGCGGGTGTCCACTGCGGCGTCGCGGCGATCGCATTTGTATCGTCGCCGGTGACGCCGCGGATAACACGCTTGTTCGGCTACAATTTCACTATTGTGTGATTTCTTGTATATGAAACGCCAGAAATTTCGGCGTTATTTTACATAAGAAAAAAAGTAGTCATGAGTAAGAATTGAACTGAATTGTAACTGAATAAAATGCTTGTTTCGTGGCGGTAGAGAACGCCACAATAGTGAAATTCGGGTTTTTTAAACGACCTGACCAGTCATTTAAGTTTAGTCCGTGTGCTGCCCACGTGGCCGCCAGGTGGCGCCAGCGGTCAGGTCGCGCCAGTGTGAATGCCGCCTTATGCAACTGTCAAATACTCGAGGCATTCTCCCTTGCGTCGGTTCGTGCTAGTCGAGCCCCGGCCGACTTTACCTTAGCCTAGATAAGTACTAGTTTGTGATTATATCCATTTTATATTGTTGACTTGAATGCGAGGAGTGCAAATTTTGATTTATTTAATTATTATATGTGTCATATTGTAATCGTTAGTTAGGTATATTTTGTACGATGTAATGCCAAATGGAATGCAACAGTGGCGACGCCACGCGGGCGGCAGGAACACTTCCTACTCACTAACCACTTGTGTGCATGGTTACTATTTTCTAAGACATTTATTTACCTATTTCCTTCCTCTCCACGCGTGGGTATAAGAAGTGACTTCCCAAGATAACGGTCGATAGTAGACGCCCTGCTCACAGCTAGATGGCTTGCAAGAAACAATAATACGGCGATTATAGTAACTGTGCATTAACCAAAACATTGATCTCGATTAGTAACAAATTCCAGCATTTATTTTATTTTCCTGCCGGCTGCTAATTTACACCAGGGACGGAAAAGTAGTTGCTTTTCATATAGGAGAGGTTTAAAGTAACCTTTCCTATATGAAAGTAACTAAATTAATGTTAAACGATATAAATGTTAATTCGTCCCCAGTGTCCGGGACCTATTGATCTCTCGGTGGCTTTCGTCTTCCTTCGACACGTTCAGTACAATTCGATAGAAATGTAACACCTTTTGTAGTTGCTTCTCTGTATATCGTAATGTATAACGCTTAATTCAGCGCCTGAGGCATGGGGGGGTTGTAACGTCAACGTCAGACTTCGGATTTATATTAATAATATGTCAATGTCACCCTCATGTGCCGCTTCCATACCTCAAGCTCTGAGAAGCGCTATACATATAATTAGGCTGTCCGTAATTATTTCCATTGGTAGATATCTACAGACTGAGGTCACAAAAACATTATTCAGCTCTTTCACTCATGCGTATCCCAACAAGTGTGCGATGGAGATGGATACAGTAACTTTAATGGTAGTCTCTTGTGGATTGTAATGAGCACTAACAGGGAGATATTCTGATACTTTACACTTCTGCTCACTTTATATTAGCGAACCATTTCTGTACAACTATGAATTTAACCTCTGCTCAATCCGAGATTTATAGTTAATTGTGGTGCTATACTTGCACCTGTTTAGCATTTAGTTTGGTTGTACTGTCGAGCGTTTTGTGCCTGTAGACTGAACTTATCTTTTATTGTGTGTTATAACATAAAAGTTTTCCCGATATAAAACTATGTAAATTGGATGGTAATTTTTAGGAGTAGTTTAATTTTGGCTTGTGTCCTCACAATTTATTATACATGTTGTAAACTAATATAACCGCCCTCTATTTACTTGTAAGCAACTGTTTGTAAAGCGCCATCTATGGTTCTTCTTCATTTCTTACTGTAGCTGGCGCTACATCTGTGCGTATTCGTGTGAAAGCGCCATCTAGATGACGCTACGCGCGACGTTAGTATTTATATTTTCACTCAAGCACGCATAGATGTAGCGCCATCTATGGTTCATTGTAAGAACTAGTTTGTCCCGACTTATTGAACTACCCAGTCCGGACAAACTAGTTCTTACAATGAACCATCGATGGCGCTAAATATGTGCATTGTGCGTGCTTGTGTAAAAGCTCCATCTAGATGACGCTACGCGCGACGTTAATATTTGTATTTTCACTCAAGCACACACAGATATCGCGCCATCTATGGTTCATTGTAAGAACTAGTTTGTTCCGACTCTTACTGAACAACCGAGTCGGGACAAACTAATGCTTAATGAACCCTAGATGGCGCTACACCTGTGCGTGCTCGTGTGAAAACTTCATCTAGATGGCGCTACGCGCGACTTAGTATTTGTATTTTCACTCATGCACGCACAGATGTAGCGCCAACTATGGTTCATTGTAAGAACTAGTTTGTTCTGACTCTTATACTACCGAGAGTTGGGACAAACAAATGCTTATAATGAACCCTAGATGGCGCTACACCTGTGCGTGCTCGTCTGAAAGCGCCATCTAGATGGTGCTACGCGAGACGTTGGTATTCGTATTTTAACTCAAGCTCATGTGAAAGCGCCATCTATGTATTTTCACACGAGCACGCATAGATGTAGCGCCATCTATGGTTCATTATAAGAACTAGTTCGTCCCGTTTCTGGGTAGTTCAGTAAGAAAGAAAGAAGAACCATAGATGGCGCTAAATCTGTCCGCGCTCGTGTGAAAGCGCCATCTATGCATTTTCACACGAGCACGCATAGATTTAGCGCCATCTATGGTTCATTATAAGAACTAGTTCGTCCCGTTTCTGGGTAGTTCAGTGAGAAAGAAAGAAGAACCATAGATGGCGCTTTACAGTTTCTTACAAGTAAATAGAGGGCGCTTTGGTTTACGGTGGTCTCTATCCCCATTTTTACAAAAATGCAATAAAATATAAGTTCAGTGTGGTGGCGCCGCGAGCGTGGAGGCTGCGGCTGCTCGCGCGACGATTGTAAACTAAATACATTTATTATCTCCATGCTGGCGTTTTATTTCCGAGGGTTCCTACGTATTATCGAAAGCCGTTTCATCGAACGAGTAAAATTATTTTTATTAGATTAGTCGTGACTCGTCTTCTTTTCATTTTATATTTCTTCTCTTCGTCTCCTCTTCTCATTTTCTTTTCCTCTTTTTCCCTTCTTACATTTCTCCCCTTATTCTCATTTTTCTCTTCTCATCTCCATTTCGTTACCTAATTTTCTTATTTTCTCTTCTCTTCTACTCTTTCTCTTCATCTCCGTCTCTTCTGCTTCTTCTCATCATCTTTTCTTTTTTTCTTCTTCTCTTCTCTTCCCTTCTTGTCGTCTTCTCTTATTCTTCTTATCTTCTTCCTCTTATTCTCCTTATATTCTTCTTCTATCTTCTCCGCTTCTTCTCTTCGTCTTCTCTTTTTCTCATATCACTCTTCTCATTTTCTTCGTCTTCTCTTCTTCTTGTTCTCTTCTCATCTTATTCTCTTCTTTTCTTGCGGTCTTCTCTTATTCTTCTTATCTTCTTCCTCTTATTTTCCTTATCATATTCTTCTTCCATTTCTCCGCTTCTTCTCTTCGTCTCCTCTTTTTCATTTTCTTCTTCTTCTCTTCTTGTCGTCTTCTCTTATTCTTCTTATCTTCTTCCTCTTATTCTCCTTTCTTCTTCCATCTTCTCCGCTTCTTCTCTTCGTCTCCTCTATTCTTGTTCTCTTCTCATCTTATTCTCTTCTTTTCTTGCGGTCTTCTCTTATTCTTCTTATCTTCTTCCTCTTATTTTCCTTATCATATTCTTCTTCCATTTCTCTGCTTCTTCTCTTCGCCTCCTCTTTTTCTCATATTACTCTTCTCATTTTCTTCTTCTTCTCCTCTTCTTCTTGTTTTCTTCTCATCTTATTATCTTCTTTTCTTGTCGTCTTCTCTTATTCTCCTTAGTATATTCTTCTTCTATCGCTTCTTCTCTTCGTCTCCTCTATTTCTCATATAACGCTTCTCATTTTCTACTTCTTCTCTTCTTTTACTTCTCTTCTTTTCTTGTCGTCTTCTCTTATTCTTCTTATATTCTTCCTCTTATTCTCCTTATCAAATTATTCTTCTATCTTCTCCGCTTCTTCTCTTCGTCTCCTCTTTTTATCATATTACGCTTCTCTTTTTCTTCGTCTTCTCTTTTTCTCTTCTTTTCTTGTCATCTTCTCTTATTCTTCTTATCTTCTTCTATCTTCTCTGCTTCTTCTCTTCGTCTCCTCTTTTTCTCGTATTACTCCTCATTTTCTTCTCTTCTTTTTGTTCTTTTCTCTTCTTTTCTTGTCGTTTTCTCTTATTCTTCTTATTTTCTTCCTCTTATTCTTCTTATCATATTCTTCTATCTTTTCAGCTTCTTTACGTCTCCTCTTTTTCTCATATTTTATTACTCTTCTCATTTTCTTCGTCTTCTCCTCTTCTTGTTCTCTTCTCATCTTTCCTTGTCGTCTTCTCTTATTCTTCTTATATTCTTCCTTTTATTTTCCTTCTAGTATTCTCCGCTTCTTCTCATATTACATTTTTTCTTATTTTCTTCTTTTTCTCTTCTTGTTACCTAATTCTTCTTATCATCTTCTCGTCTTTTTCGACTCTTCATCTTCTGTTCTTTTCCTGTCGTCTTATATTCTCATCTTCTGTTCTTTTCCTGTCGTCTTATTCTTCTCTTTGACTTCTTCTCATCACCTTCTTCATCGTCTCTTCTGCTTCTTCTCATCTTTTTAAATTCTTTTTCTAATATTCTTCTCCGCTTCTCCTTTTGGTTTCCTCTTCTTGTCGTTTTCTCTTATTCTTCTTATCTTCTTCCTCTTATACGCCTTATCACATTCTTCTTCTCTTCTTCTTTTTATCTTCTCATCTTATTACCTTCTTCTTTTCTTCTACTCTCTCTTCTTCATCATCTCTTCTGATTCTTTTTTCTTCTTGTCGTCTTCTCTTATTCTTCTTCTAATCTTCTCCGTTTCTTCTCTTGTTGTCTTCTTCTTCTCGTCTTAATCTATTTTTATTTTCTTTTCTTTATACTTGTCTCATCTTCTATTTTTCTTTTCCTCTTCTTCTTTTCGTTACCTCATCTTCTTTTTTTATTCTACTCTTCTTCTCATCATCTTCTCCCGTCTCTTCTGGTTCTTCTTCTTCTTTTCTTATTCTTCTCTTACCTTTAGACATTCGATGTTTCGAATCATCGATATATCGACCGTTCGATTCGAAGCTTTCGATGTTATGATATTCGATGAAACGATTTTCCTCTACCGAATCCTAATCCACACCCGTGTCCACAACTTGTAGCCCTGCATAACATTTTGTAGCATGCGATGTTTATTTTGAAAAAATTCCTTCACCAGTTGGGGGCTAATCTACCGAAACAAAGGATCAAAACAAGAAAATAATCAACATTTTATTTACTCTTACCATAACTGACTACGCTAGCTAATCTACTTACAACGAGACTAATAAATACATCGCACGTCGTCTATGTACACACTAATAAATACTGTCGTGTCTGGAACTGAGGAGATCTGCAGCGGAGCCTCTGCTCGTCAGCACTTAACCTGCAAACATACAAGTTCTCATTTGAAAATGCCAGGTTAAAAAAGAAAATTACTAGCATGAGGCACATCTTGCCAAACTGTTCCTTAGCCTATATCCTTCAATAGATCACCACAGATACCTATATTATTGAGTGATAGACATGGAGTAGATCTTCGAGGGTCGCAGAAGAATAGGCTAGGACACGTAAGGAGTTCCAGCTGTTACAGTAGCAGAACCTTTACATTACCTTAGCTAGTGCCGCTAGTACGCATCTGCGAGCACATTTGAGGGGAAAGAGGGGCTGAGTGGCGCGTAGTTAAGGGCGTACTGGCGGGTCTATTTAATCAAATAGCGGATCAAAGGAAACTAAATTAAATAATTAAATTCGATTCTAATAGACCCAAATTGTCGCTTGGAGTCAGGAATAGACCGCACTGGCGCAGGAGAGGGATCTAGGGGAGCACGAAGTTCATCTTCATCCTCATTTCAGCCATAGGACGTCCACTACTGAACATAGGCCTCCCCCAATGACTTCCACATCGCACGGTTAGCGGTAGCGGCCTGCATCTAGCGCTTTCCTGCTACCTTAATCAGGTCGTCGGTCCACCTTGTGGGTGGACGTCGACGTTTTCCGGTACGCGGTCTTTATTCCAGAACCTTGCTGCCCCATCGGCCGCACGTAGTTAGTTTTTTTTTTCTGACAGGAGGCAAACGAGCAGACGGATCACCTGATGGTAAGTGATTACCGTCGCCCATAGACACCCGCAGACCCAGGGGCGATACAGGTGCGTTGCCGACCTTTAAGGTGAAGATACGCTCTCCTCTTGAAAGCTTGCAGGTCGTATCCGTCCGGAAACACCGCAGACGACGGTCCATTCCACAGTTTGGTTGTACGGGGCAGGAAGTTTCAAGAGAAACGTACTTTTGTGGACTGCCAACCATCTAAGTCAGTGGTTTTTAACCGTTAAGTCACGAGGGACCATTTTACCAAATTTCTGTCTTGTCAGGGACCACTTTTATTTTCAAATCCTATGAAAGGGGAGGTCGATTACTCGCCCACTGTGCGCCGTTTGCGTTGTGTTGACTCGACTCATCACGTCACTTGTTTATTACGTCTTCGTGGACCACTTGGAATGCCTCCAGGGACCACCGGTGGTCCGCGGACCACCGGTTAAGAACCACTGATCTAAGTGATGGGGGTGGAAGTACTTGAAGTAAAAGTGCAGTTATTTCACGCACCTGTGAGCGCGGGTCGGGCGGCGCGCGCCTGCAGCAGCAGCCGGTCGAGGTCGTCGCGGCGCGCCACGTGCAGGAAGCTGCGCGGCCGCACGCCGCGGAACACGCCCGCGATGGACGGCTTCACGTTGTAGAAGATGATCGTCTGCCCGCGCGCGTGGAAGTCCTCGATCAGCGACTTGATGCCCTGCCGAACACGATCAGTCAGTTTAAGGGTTAATACCTAACTAACAGCTAACTAATAGCTAACTAGCTAACGCATAATTTGTGTCCAACGTCTCTGCAACACCACATCAGACGACATTTAATGTTGAAAAAAATAGCACCTATTACCACGCCATAAGGCTCGGTTTTCACCAAGGCGGAGCAGAACGAAGAAGAGAAGTAAAAAATGTAATGAAATCTGGTTATACAAAACACTTCTCTGCTCCGCTCCGCTCTGCACTGATGGAAACGGGAACCGGGCCTAAGATGAGACAGTGTAAAGCTCTTGAAGTCTGTATCTAACGTGTCTTGCAATTGAGTATACAAATTATGTATCCGTGCTGCGAGTGGACAATCCACTGTTTCTTCAGTAGAAAAGTAGGTACACGACTAGGATATAATATCCTTTGTCCCGGGTGCCAAGTATGGTAATCGCCACGGGTGCCAACCCATGCTACGCCGCCACTGCCCCCGTCTGCTCTCAAAGAAAACCTTTTTCAAGATGAAAAGGGCCCCGTTGATCCTGAAGTGCCCGGGGCCCCTAGTAGGTCAAAGAAAGAAGTAAGAAAGAAAGAAAGAAAGTATTTATTTGATGCGAGTATTAAAAGCGTTACAAATAAATAACAACTTAAACACTAAAAACAGAGTACACGCACCAAAATGGCATCTGCTCAGTATAAGCCGTGACGGCAGAGAGCACGTCACGACCACTGGTATTCTGCGGATGCCAGTTCAGCAGAAGGGCGCAGGGACGGCCCTGTGCGTACGGCGTACCTTGGCGGCGGTGAAGTCGGCGGCCTGCACGTGCGTGGCGTCGAGCACGAGCGGCAGCGGCTCGCGCTCGGCCGCCTTGCGCAGCGCGCGCCGCACGAACTCCGCCGACGGGAAGGCCAGCGCGCGGTCCACCGTCGCCACCAGGTGCTCCACGCCGTCGCGCGACTGCACAAATACCAAACACATGTCAAATCAAATCAATTATATTTTGACCACTAATGGCACTTTTTAAAAAAAAGGTAGGGTAGGTACTAGGTATCAGTCTTGAATAGTAATGGCCGAGCGTGGACCGATCGATAAAAAGCAGCACGCACAGGACAGATGCAGCGCCATCTGTGGTTCATTGTATGAATAAGTTTTCACTTGTAAATTCTTTTAATGTCTGCTATGGCATATGGTCTATTTGCATCTTAACTTCCATTTGCGATTACCTATAAATGGCTAAGCAGATACATAATTTAAGGTCCCATTATTTGTATTGTATTGCTGTTGGTTATCCGAATAAAATAAAAAAAAAAAAAATTTAGATTGTCCCGACTCTCGGTAGTTCAGTAATAAAGGATGAACCATACCATAACCAGTTGTTTATAAATAAATAGAGGGCGCTAAATTGGTTTACAACAGAACTATAATACTTACAAATAAAGCAGCTTGATGGCCAGATGATTTGACTTTTTTTTCTTTGTAACTAGTGCTATCCAGTAATTTTTAACTATCAATTTAGGTAACTATCAAGGCTCAAAGACATCGGTAGGAAATGGTATTTGAAGGAAGACGCTAGGAGGAAGATAGGTCTTCCTCACACATCCTGCAGACTACAGTCTGACATTTCTACCTGTAGTTTTGTACCTGGTTACAAGATTCTGCCAAAAAATAAAGCCTTCCAAGTAGCATTCTGGGACTATTCCCACCTCTCTTGACCGCCAATAAAAACCCAACCAGTGAAGGTCAAGTTTTTGCAACGAAATTAATTAATCAGAAGAACATAGGAGGATTTCGATGTCGACTTTCGTTCGAAGTTAGATCTTACCACAGCGCGCGTGACTTTGACGGAAGGTCTCGCGGAAGCATAGAGCAGGAACATGAGGTTGACGGCGATGCCGATGACGATGCCCAGCTCCAGCCGCGTCAGCAGGCACGCGCCGAACGTCACCACCGCCGGGATTATGTCCAGCTCTGAAACGGGAAACAATACGTTGTTAGCCATTTTTCTTGCATCACTCACTAAGCTTTTCTTCGATTGCAAGGTATCTTGGATACTTCTACACTATAGTCTGGTCTGTGAGCACGTAGAATTTTGTCCAATGACCCCAAGCTACCCATCCTTATCGCTCGCGCGTAATTATGTTGCTGTCGCGCTCGCACACTCACTGCGGGCGCCCGTTGCACAATCGCGACAGCAATATAATTACGCGCGAGCGATAAGGATGGGTAGCTTGGGGTCATTGGACAAAATTCTACGTGCTCACAGACCGGGCTTTACAATATCTACTGATAATGAGCAGATTTCATGACTTGATCAGACTGGCACACACAATTCGCTGCGAGCTCATTAAGCCCGTAACCATGATCTAAGAAAACTACTTATAAGGATTTAAATATAGTTTGGTCCTTACTTTTCGTTCTCCAAATGGGCTTGAAAACGTGAAGCTCCATCATGAAGACGACGGCCGCGATGATCACGGCCGCCAGCGACGCCTTCGGAATGTAGTAGAAGTACGGCGTGAAGTACTGGAAATTAAAAAAGTATCTTTATAAAATCTGCAAGTTGCGACTGCGAGTAATCATAACTATGAACTCCTTTTGCTTCTGTTTGTTTGGAACACTATTAAAAGTTTAGGCTGAGTTGCATCATTTTACTTTAACTTTTAAACAAACGTCAAAATCTCTCAATCTATACAAAAAGTACCGCTTATTGTTATTGTTCCGGTTAAAATAAGGTGGTGCAACTCAGGCTTACTTAGTTTTACGGAGGTGTTATTAAGGTCGGACGCTGGACGCAAGACGCGCGGCAGCAGGCAGCGATAGCGCAGCACGAGTGCGCCGGGGTGGAGCTTACTGGCGGTGGTAGCGCCGCCGGACGCAGGATGTACTATCGCGGTCACTGACGAACCACCACCCTTAGTGCTTAGACAAGCTGTACACGTGGTTTCTTCTTCTTCTCAGTCGGTACACTTTTGTCAAGAGTGGTCGTGGTCATCGTGAATCACGATTCAGAGTGATGTTCCTCGTAATACGGCGCCATTCCTCGTACACGTGGTTTATTCCACTTTAATCACCTAGGTGATCTTATCCATGGGTGATCAAAAGACACCAAAGTATCACCTGGGTGATTACATCCAGGTGATCAAAGTGGAGTAGACCGCACACGTAGGGGTGGGCTGGTAGTGTTTGTTTAGTACCTGCAGCGACAGCAGCACGAGCGCGCCGGTGTAGAGCCCGCCGGCGGTGGAGGCGACGCCGGACGCGTGGTTGACGGCGCCGCGGGACAGCGCGCCCGACACCGGCATGGAGTCCACCAGCGCCGACGCGATGTTGCACACGCCCAGCGCCAGCATCTCCTGCGTCGCGTCTACGTACTTGCCCTCCGCTGGAAAACAAACAACAATTCTTGTCCATTTCTGCTACTGAATACTTAGTTCGTTAACCGCCTATGGCTATAATATATGACATCACTAAAATGCATGACACACGATGCCAATTTTTCTAAACAATTAAGAAAGGATCAGAAGATTAGGGAGTTTAGGAAAATCATCATCATTTCAGCCATAAGACGTCCACTACTGAACATAGGCCGCTCCCAATGGCCGGTTGATGGTGGCCTGCCATCCAGCGCCTTCCCGCTATCTTTATGAAATCTATGAGATAAGTTTGGGAAGATCGGGATAAAAAAAGGTTAAATCACGAGCACGTACATTATTGACCCCTCTAATCGTAGAGAAAATATAAAAGTCAAGCAGTTGAAAGATTCAAATAACAACTCATACTCACAGAAGACCTTAGCCAGCGCGATGTTCTCGAGGATGGAGAGCAGCGGCACGACGAAGATGGCGGAGCCGAGCGTGGACGCCATCTCCGCGAACGTGTAGGTGTGGTTGCCCACCGTCGCCGAGAACGGCGGCGCCGACAGCTGCGGCAGCCCCGGCTTCACGTCGCCTGGAAATGACAATTATTCGGAATAGGGATGTTTCCTGGGTCAAAAAGCAAGAGTTTTAATTAGTCCGTCAGTTAACTTATCAAAAAATACTCTACACGTATTTTTCACTTTTTCAAACTAATGAAAATTGAAAGAGATAAAGCGCGCCAAAGTTCATAAGAAGAGGCCCGTGACGTCAATGCGTGCATAAAATTGCCGCACGTTGTGACGTCGTGCGGAACTTCAACGCACCATAACTATGTAATTATTTGTTAGATTGACATATAAAAATATGTGTCCAATATTTTTTGATATTAAACATGACGGACTAAAAAAATTTTTTTAGGATACTAGCCTATTGACAACATTTACTATTCTCAAGACCAGGTTGGATTTTGTTTTAATGAAGTGATCAAGTCATTGCTCATTGTCATTACGTAGGATAAACGTAAAAATGTGAGAGTTGAAGAATCCGTTTTAGGGATATTTTACAGGTTATAAATGTCCAAATGGTTTTCATTTCAGTGCGTGTGCCTAGTTTCAATATAGCGCATAACATTTTATGAGTTGCTGAGTTTCAAAGTAACTAGTACCTATACTAGAGCTGTGTTCACCAGCACTAGAAGGATATACTATGAAGCTATCTCACCAGTGAGCAAGAAGAGCACCTGACACACCTGTTTATCAAAGTAATGGTAGAGCTGAGTCCAGCACCACACAATATGGAAAGGTTCAGAGACATTACGCTCTTGCTCTATCAAGCGGCAAGTGAAACCTCACCAGTGAGCACAGAAGGCGCCAGGCACAGTGTATCAAAGTAGTATGGTGGATCTTATACTAGTACTTCAGCTAATTTTCGCACTACTCTACGAGAATGAAGACAGTCAAAATCTCACCAGTGAGCACAAAAGGCGCCAGGAACNGGAACCCTAAAAACGGGTCTTTGATTCTTAAAGATCGCGATGTCAGGATTCAGAATATTCAAAACAATCATAAATGCAGTAAGTGGTACTTACTGCGTTTATAAATTGTGCGGCAGTATGGTAGAGCTTACTATATCAGCTACATTTCGCACTACTCAACGAGAATTAAGGCAATTAAAATCTCACCAGTGAGCACAAAAGGCGCCTGGTTCTGCGTATCAAAGTAGTATGGTAGAGCTTACTACATCAGCTACTTTTCGAACTACTCAACAAGAATTAAGACAATGAGGGCTATCGTTTTTATACTTAACAGTTGGCACCCCTTTTGACATTGACAGGACCTTACTCTACAGTGGCGCCATTTTGATGAGTGCAAATGCGATAGTCCTCCTACCACTTTAGCGCTCACAAGTTGGCGCCACTGTCTTCGCTACTAGCAAGTGACAGGACCTTACTCTACAGTGGCGCCATCCTGATGAGTGCAAATGCGATAGTCCTTCTACCACTTTGGCGCTCACAAGTTGGCGCCACTGTCTTCGCTACTAGCAAGTGACAGGACCTTACTCTACAGTGGCGCCAACTGGTGAGCGCTAAAACGATAGCCCTCATTGATTTGAAATACGAGAATTAAGACAATTGAAACTCACCCGTGAGCACGAAAGGCGCTTGGCTCTGCGTATCGAAGTAGTATAGTAGAACTTACTACATCAGCTACTTTTCGCACTACTCTACGAGAATTTAAACAATTGAACCTCACCAGTGAGCACAAAAGGCGCCTGGCTCTACCTAGTTACATATCAAAATAGTGTGGTAGAGCTGAGTACATCAGCACCACACAACCTGGAAAGGTTCTAAGACCTTACGCTCTTAGTTTATGATGCTGAAGGCAATTGAAATCTCACCCGTGAGCACGAAAGGCGCCTGGCTCTGCGTATTAAAGTAGTATGGTGGATCTTACTATCAGCTACTTTTCGCACTACTCTACGAGAATTAAGACAATTAGGGCTATCGTTTTTATACTTAACTGTTGGCACCCCTGGCGATTGACAGGACCTTACTCTACAGTGGCGCCATTTTGATGAGTGCAAATGCGATAGTCCTCGTACCACTTTAGCGTTCACCAGTTGGTGCCACTGTCTTCGCTACTAGCAAGTGACAGGACCTTACTCTACAGTGGCGCCAACTGGTGAGCGCTAAAACGATAGCCCTCATTGATTTGAAATACGAGAATTAAGACAATTAAAACCTCACCAATGAGCACGAAAGGCGCTTGGCTCTGCGTATCGAAGTAGTACAGTAGAACTTACTACATCAGCTACTTTTCGCACTACCTACCAGTGGCGGCGTAGCATGGGTTGGCACCCGGGGCGATCGACCCCCCCCCCCGTCATAAGTCCCAAGGCACCCCCTACCCCCCAGGATTTGGGTCAGGATTTTGGGGTTACCTACCGATTCGAAGATTGAAAGACAATCGCACCCCACGTATTATGAGATAGACCGCAGATTTGTCATGCATATGCGCTAATCAGTATTAATTTGCGCGACTTGTGTCACCCCCTGANAGGATTTTGGGGTTACCTACCGATTCGAAGATTGAAAGACAATCGCACCCCACGTATTATGAGATAGACCGCAGATTTGTCATGCATATGCGCTAATCAGTATTAATTTGCGCGACTTGTGTCACCCCCTGAGGCTTGGCACCCGGGGCGGACCGCCCCCACCGCCCCCCCCTTACGCCGCTAGTGCAACCTACTCCACGAGAATGAAGACAATTGATTTGAAACTTACCCGTGAGCACGAAAGGCGCCTGGTTCTGCGTGTCGAAGTAGTACGCGAGCGCCGCGCACGCGAGCACCACGAGGATGTTGCGCGTGGTGGACAGGAACCACAGCGCCTGCGCGGCGGCGGCGCGCGCGCGGCTGGGCGCCGCCGACCCCGACCCGCTCACGTTGATGTCCTTCACTTTCTGCGGGATTGTGATGGACGATTCAAAATGTGTTTTAGTAACCTAGAAGTTTTTAGTTAAAATTTAAAGCACAAATAAAATGAAGAACAAATCGGAAAATACAGTTACGCCCGTATTCACATAACGTTTGTGAGGTCTCACAGTGCGCGTGAACGCACAGGGTGACACCCGAACCAATCACAGACCTCTATTCAACGCTGTGCGTTTGATTTGCTGCTTCACTTAAGCAAGCATCGTTTGTAAATAGGTACGGGCGTTAGAGTAGGTAGTACCTATAGGTAAGCACTCGTGCTTTTAAAATACTACGGAACCGCGTAGGGTTTGAAATAATATGTCAAAATTTTAGACTATTCTGAACCAGTGCCCAAAATTTAAGAACCCTATATTAGATAGATTGTTGAGCTTTTTAGTTCATCAAGGATTTTCATGCATGGCTCCTAGATTCTGATCTCAAAGACCAAATAGTCAGTCAATTATTTGGTTTCAAACTAAGTCGTTATAAAATAAATTCGTCGTAAATAGTAAAGTATGTAACTAGGATGTAGGTAAGCATGAATGATAAGGGTAGATACTAGAGATGAAACGGATAGTGGTTTGGCCGGATACCGGATACCGGATATCCGGCGAGCTGCTAGGCCGGATAGCCGGATATCCGGCGGCCGGATAGTTGGCCCATTGTCTCGTTTTATGTAGTGACGAGTTTAGCGCCGGACAGGTGCTTTGAACGCGATCAGTGGTTCTAGTAGACTAAACAAGTCACACTTTTCGAAAATCAAATCGTCCGTCAGATTTTGCCACTTGTCTAGGGGGCAGATCAATTCGGGCGATTTCGGTTTCCATCGTGTAGGCCAGTAGAATTAGATTTTAAATCGGAAATAATTCCTACAAAAGATTTTATTGCTTTAATGGCTTCATTGGTTGCCCATTAAGTCTCTCCTAGGTTTCGACTCCGACGGAGTTGTGCTTAAGTGGTGGGGGCCCCCGAAAAGGGCGTTTTTTCGATTTTCCGGTTATACCGCGTAAAGAACTTACCCTATCGAAAAGTGATCTTTATGATGGTTGAAGGGCATTTAATCCTGCATTGAATAAGACCATTTTTATATGTTTCGGACAAACCGTTCTCGTGCTTATCTTCGACAAAGTAGAAAATGTACATAATTATAATTAATGACCCTCCAATAGCTCGTCGCCCGCATGCTCCCAAGCCTTGTAAAGGGCCCCCTTAACCAGCGTATCCCTGTCAAGGCTTGCGAGTTGGATTCGCCTATCCTTGTTCGTCCCAGCCGATCCTTAACTACGGTTGCTGCACCTATTTCTTGCACTCTCCTGAACGACTCTGTGTTATCTACTATGGCTGCCCCTCTTCCTTGCACCCTCCTGCACGACTGCATTGCTTAGCCGTATGCCTGGTCCAAGGTTCAACGCCACAAAATCGAAGTCGAAAACTTAGGAGAGTCTTAATGGGCAACCAATGAAGCCATTAAAGCAATAAAGTCTTTTGTAGGAATTATTTCCGATTTGATTAATTTTTGTGTTTAATTCTACTGGCCTATGAGTGTGTGGTTGAATAGGGAAAATTAAATTAGTTTACTTGCTGCGTAATCTGACTGAACTGCATCATTTCATCAGACCATCAGTGAAAAAAAGATCGCCTATTTTAATTGGCTTTAATTCGAAATTAACAGATATTTATTTATTTAGTATTCTTCATTAGAGTCCAGAAAAAGAAAATGAATAAGTTCTTTGATAGGCCTTAATATGGCTTTTTTGTAACTTTTTGAACTTTAAATAAAAGCCGTCATTATTATAAGCCTTTTTATTGATATTTACATCAAAAGATTAATGTATTTCATTTTATTAAAGGAAATTGTCATTGTTTTTTAATATCCGGTATCCGGCCGGATAGTGAGTTACTATCCGGTATCCGGCCGGATAGTAAAATTAGGCCGGATATCCGGCCTACCGGATAGTTACCGGATATCCGTTTCATCTCTAGTAGATACCAACTCGCGTCAATTACTATGACAATTGTATCACCTGCCGCAAATTGCGGCACTAACGGCACGTTTTGATTGCATTACACGGCGCTGCACAGCGCTGACTGAAATTACAGTGCGATGCAATCGCTCGTATTAGGGCTGCCACATGCTGATTATTTTTCAATCTTTTTCACGCAACCTTGAAGAATTTCTATAGCAAATTCCGGTTAAGTCTGTATGGAATAAACTTTTGCTATCTCTCATCTCATTTCGAATAACGTTGACTGTAAATAATCATAATACACAAACAACTTCGGTGAAATGTTTTACTTCAAAGGTTTTCGTCACAGTTTTAGTATTTCATTTGATTTCGACAGCCCTGCACGTAAGAGACATAATGAGCTGCTAGTGGCGGATGCAGTAACATCTGTAGATATAATCTAAACGCACGGAATGCAACAATAGCGCAGCTCTAGGTGGCCAAAGGTTTAATGGAAAAATATACGGCTGATTAATGATGTCACTAAGCAAAGGCCTTGCTCGTGTAATACCTAGAACATGTATGCTATGGATGACTTTATTCTTAGTAGCAGTGGCGGATTTACAGTTTCGCCGCCCGTAGGCTAGGATGGGGTTGGATCTTTATTTAACTTTTATCTTCTGAAATCGAGTAAGCGTCATCTGAAATCTGCCGCCCCTAGGAGTGCATTACCGCAGCAAAATTTTTATAAATGTTGTGCTTTAGAGAGTCGAGAGTATAGCAGATAATTAGTCCATCGTGAGCAGAAATTTGTCCACTAATAGCAAAATTCGTTCAAATTATAGTTTTAAAGTTATTAGGAAAAAACAGATTTTGCTGGGGTAATGTTTGAAACATTACCCCAGCAAAATTTTTTTTTGAAAGTCGTTATATCCCGGAACCAAATACATGGATAGATAGCTTTTGTTGCGTAGTAATTTGTCCACGAATAGCAAAATTTGTTCGTGTTCCGGTTCTCAAGTTATTCAGAATTTTGCTGGGGTAATGTTTTGTGATGTCCCAGATCTCGTAAATGGCTCAACGCAGAAGTTTGAAAAAAATACCAATGATAGACCTTGATATGTCCAAATTAGTTCAAGCATTAGTCATTGATTTGAATGATAAACACCAGTGTAATTAAATGATTTCGAAAATCAGATAAAACGGATTTGTGAGTAAACCAGTACTCTTACAATCGAATAAAAAGGTGTAGCATGTACCCTTGGTAGTACGAGATTAGAATGGCTCTCAAACAGCTGAAAAACAACAAGGCACCGGGCGATGATGAAATCACGGCTGAGCTTCTGAAATCAGGCGGAACGCCGGTACTAAAGGCTCTTTAGAAGCTATTCGATTCCGTCATCCTTGAGGGAAAAACGCCTACGGCATAGCACAGAAGTGTGGTGATACTCTTCTTCAAAAAAGGCAATAAAACCTTGTTGAAGAATTTATTTTATACCCATCTCACTTCTGATTCTGTTTTTGAGAGTCATCATGAATGGTTTCACGCGACATCTAGCCTCCCGAACAGATCGGTTTCCGATAAGGCTTTAGTACGATAGACCACTCATACTTATCTATGGCAGATAACTGAGGAGAATAATCAGCAACTTTGTCTGGCATTTGTGGTCTATGAGAAAGACTTCTCTCTTCAAGCTACAGTCTCTCCAACGGTGCCAAATTCACTATAGATATAATCGTTGAAGGGCTTGTACAAATAGGCCACAATGTCAGTCCGTCTCCGGGACCAGGACTTCAGTTTCAGCGAGGGGTCAGACAGGGAGATGTCATATTTCTAAAACTGTTCACTACCACTCTGGAAGATGTTTTCAAGCTTCTGGACTGGAGCGGATTGGGCATAAATATCATCAGCGAGTACATCACCCATCTTTGATTCGCGGACGATATCGTAGTCATGGCTGAGTGAGAACGTGGAGGATCTAAGCTCAATCCTCGATTGCCTCAATAGAGCCTCAACAAATGGGTCTTTAANTCTAAAGCACAACATTTATAAAAATTTTGCTGCGGTAATGCACTCCGCCCCTAGGCCGCGGCCTATACGGCCTATTGACGGATCCAGGACTGCTTAGTAGCATAATGAGAGTTGATAGTAACTGTAGCGGTCTTGTAACGATTAAAATCAATTTTCGTGCGTTTGTCCTGAAAGTACAACGAAAACAGTTTTGAAAAGAGCCAATGTAGTCCATTTATGAACTTTGGTCTACTTTGGAGCTTTAGCCCTCGAATAGAGCGAGAGGAGTGGTCTCAATGCAGACCAGATTGCAAGAAAGCCAGGGTTGTCCAAGCAACAATGCCTGCTATGTCTAAGATGGCAACCTTAAACCTGTACATAGTGCTTAAAGAGAGTCAAGATCTATGGCTACGCGTTGACTATAATGCTAACTCTTGGTAAAAAGAAGACATCTTACCCGCAGCAGTAGCAGTAGCACGATACAAGAGAGCCCGAGCACGGCGTCCCACAGCCGCGTCTCGCCGATGTGCTCGTACATGCCCGTCCACACCTGCGCACAAACATTAGCGTTGTAATACACTGGTCATCACAAAAATCGGCCCACCTACGTTTTACAGGAAAACTCGTTTCTACTGACACAATCATGGTACCCCAACAATATTGGTGTTATTTGAAAGCCCAATAAATAAAAGAAAAACACATTTAATTTCCTAATAAACGATTAACATATACAATAAATGTGACTTGAAAAACTTGAAAAAAGACCTCACTTTGGGCTCACTTCTGGGATCAATTAGACCAATTTTTATGGTTATAAAACCAAATAATGATCTCACGTGTCCTCTTTAACAGATGGATAGCGATTAATCCCAACTTAACAGTTTTATAGCCATAAAAGTTGGCTCAAGCGTAACTACCTATTTTTTGAAGAAGTGACTCTGGATTCTTCTACAGACACATTTTTTGGGTAAAAACCTTTCCTTTAATGAAATGAAGTTTAGAACTAGGCTTTTAAATGGTAATATAGTATAGTAATATTGGTGGGAAGTGGGGATGCATACGTTTGAAAGTGCTTGTCGCGGGTGGGTCGATTTTTATGATGACCAGTGTAGAAAGAAAGAAAGAAAGAAAGAAACATATTTTAGTTTGTTTATCCTATCATCGATCCTCTCTAATCTATCAGAGGCAAAAGGGGAAAATGTTACCAGGTCTCGAAAGAATAAACCGTCAATTTAAGTTGTGAGATCTAGTCGAATGTAGAGTCACTTCGAATATTCCTAGATCCTAACTTTCACTGTTCGTCAACAAATAAATCTTTAATTATAAACAATTTTATAAGTTTATAAAATAACCCAACCCGCCAAGGGCGACATGAGACAATTTGGTTATTTTTATTACCAAATTGATTAGCAGGAAATATAAATTAAAGTATTCAGTCAACTTCCATCTTTCAGTCAGTAAGTAAGTATGCTTAGCAAAGCAAAAAGCAAAGCAGGGTTGCTGTGCTGTAAATATCAAATTGTTCAGAGAACAAAATATCCTCGTAGAGACGTAGCCAAGGTCAGGGTCGAACACTTTGACATTAAGGTGAAGTCTCTGCTTGAATACATAAGAATTATGTTTGCGCACACATAATCAATGACATAACATTATAATTAATATGATATTTTACTACTAATCCGTATGTATGTTCACTAAAGGTAACTTATGTCTTCATATCCAGGTTAGTGAGGAAAATAAGGATCTGCGTACTGTATAATTTTTACAGATTCAGTTCTTGTACTTTAGAAGTCATAGATAATTAATGTGTTTCATGAGAATTAATTATAATCAATCAAGAATCAGAATTGAATACAAGTTCCTTTGTCGCGTGGTTATTTAAATCAATAATAGTGTTGTAACGAGACTAGTCTAGATTCCCAGAATTGCCTGAGATAGGCACGACCACGACCACGTCTGCTCGCCGCAGCCGCCAAGGCCGAAGGAAAGTGTGCCAACTTGCAAAAACTTAAATTATTCGCGCAAAAACTCTCATTCTGACATAATGGGGGCAGCAAAAAATAATTGCTTGACAGTTCGCGAGCTGGAGCGACAAGTGGCTTAAGTAATTACAATGAATAAAAAATGCAATACTGAAGTTCATTTGTAACTGGAATCTGACGCAACAATAATTAAATATTCATAAATTAGTCATAATTCTGAAGTAGGAATTTTAAGTAGGTAGATGCGATTAGCTTGAAGTCGTAGGTAGGCAACTAGTGGTTCTATGCGACCTAGCAACATTAGATGTTTGAGATAATAAGGCACCTGCCTGTAGGAACTTCCCGCCGGGGAAGCTGAGGCCGAGGATGTCCTTGACCTGCGTGGTGGCGATGATAATGGCGGCCGCCGACGTGAAGCCCACCGACACCGGCCCGCTGATGAAGTCGATCAGGAACCCTGCACACATTAGAAACCAACATTTGAGAAGTAAGAAAAACTTTACTGTACGCGGTAAACGATTACAGTTTGTGTTTTTTTTCTGCAGGGCGAGGATGCGTAGCGGTGATAAAATCTTATCGACGATTTTAGACGACAAACGTATGGGCGTATGCGCATGTAATCGATAAAATGCTTATCGCAGCTGGATATATTACCATTTAATCAAAAGCCTTTAAATATTGTTGTAGGTACGAATTCCGTAAAAGACGATTTTCAGCGATATTAGACTTAGTAACAAAAACTAATACTGTCAGTCAACCTTTTTAAATGGCGACGTCTGGAAGTTTTCTGTTACCAAGATATATTATTATGTAGACATTTAATTGCTGTCTTATCAAGTCCTGAAGCACATATTTATTGCTTATTACCTACAACGAGGCGCTGAAGAGATCTGATCTGACATACCGGAAACGAGTCCGTATCGTGCGTGCCATCTCTGATTAACTAGGTACGCAATTAAGTGCACAACTCACGGGGCCAAGTTACATTTAACGTAAATATAATTATGTATGTTTTCCTTATTAAAATAACAATATATTTTTACTCCCATTTTTACCAAGTAGGTATTTGTTTTAAACTACATAAAAATAAAATAAACGTCGTGCGAAATATTTTTTGTGATTCAGACTGTTACTGGACAATACTTTGTTCACTATATCATTATTATTTTAATTACATTCTCTCCTAAATATTTTCCGTGGCTTTTTCAGTAGCCAAGCAACCATAAAAGAAGTTATTTAACTTGAAACATGCCTCCGCCCTGAGTCAGCTCGGGCGATAAACGAGCGCACCGTGTACACCTCATGAAACATACAATGGCCGCAGAAAATATTACGAAATAAGTATAATAACACAGGAAAACGAACAGAGGAAGAATTCCAAACATTCTGCGTGAGAGTGACGCGCTTGCAACACTGTTATTTGTTGTGACAAAAGAATAAATACAAAAAGTGCAATGAGTAAGTAACTATGACAATGCATCGTGAGTGTTCATGTCAAACAATAAGGTTTCAGCAGCTGTTGATCACAGCAGACTGAAATTAATGCTTTCTTAAGCTTTATTGATGTAACTAAAGGATTTTGTTAAAACAACATGATTTATTGAACCTGTTTTTAGTTCGAAGCTCTAACCTAAATTAATCAGTAAGTTTGGAGGAAGGCAGGTAAAATCTAAAATGATATACAAATCCAATCTGTGCCTTTCATACTATAGCCGGTAGAGCATGCTGATACATTGTTTATTTATTTATTTATTAATATAATTATTAGTAACCTGACACCAATGTACTCCATCGAGCACTGTGTGCCCGATTTGATACACCAAGGTTTCTTTATTGCACCTATTCAGCTGGTAAATTGACATATTATTAATTGTAAACAAACTTGAAGGAAAATTTTCACCTTCCATCAGCAGGTGTTTATTGCATATTACTAATCATACAATTCGATATCCATGCAAATTTTGTCCGGTAAATAAGTACATGCTAGGTTTTAAGGTTTTTACAAATTAGCCTATATAAGTCTATGACAATTTCCCTTAGAGAAAAACACCTACCAAGAAAATATTTTCCTTATCCCTTATCTTTGAAGTCATTGACCTTAAATAAAGTATGAAAACATTCGAGATCATAAAATAGGTACAGGCAGTCGGTACATTTTTGTAAAGTGTGGTTCATGTATTTCAAGATTTTAGATAAATCTGCATACAGAAGGCCGAATGAAGTTACCTTGATTCTTGGAGGTAGTGTCTGAAGACATTTAACTGTTTCCTTGTGCGAATGGGTTCCTTTCTTTCTCTTAGCAACACACGGGTACACTGATGAGTCAGTTCCAGACGTTCCAGACTGAATCAACGGGCAATTTTATGTGTCAACGCATTATTTAAATGAAATAATGAACGAACGGTATCCGCAGTTTATTTAGTTGTCATTCGTCGACTGTTCGCGAATTTACACCCACTGTCTTGGTTACATAGAATTATAAACTAGAACAAGTTGTTCGGTAGGTAGGAGCTAAATAGAAGGAGAACACATAGGACTTCGGACTGGTGTTGTAAGATATTCGAGCCTTGGAGCCTTATTTAATAAAACTTAGAGCTCAAGTCCTTCAGAATTTTGAGCCTTTTGGAAAAATACTTTAGATCTGCCAAAAAGAACTCAAAGACTAAGGCTGGGTTGCACCATCTTACTTTAACTGAGACAAACGTCAAATATCTGTCAAACTCCATACAAAAAACACCGGTTATCGTCATAGTTACGGTCAAATTTGGGTAGTGCAACTCAGCCTAAGTGTTTTTAAAAGAACTCATGACTGATTCCGCTAAATCCAAAGCTAGTTTGATTTAAATAAAAAGAACTCAAAGAACTTAAAAAGGACTCAGAAGACTCAAAGGACTCGGACTCATGTGACTAACGAGTCCTAGTCTTGAAAATAGACTCAAGTCTCGAAATAAAGACTAAAAGACTCGAGTTTCTTACAACTCTACATCGGACTGTTTTGCTTCCTAGTAAGCTTTAAGAAATGCTGCTTACCCAACTGCAGTATTCCCATGAGCAGCTCCACACAGCCCGAAAGAAAGGCCAGCAGTACAGCGAACTCAGGCCCGAGCCCGTGCAGGTTCTCCCTCGTCAAGATGGCGGCGATGGCGGTGGGCCCGATGGCGGAGTCCTTGACGGAGCCGAAGACGGTGTAGACGAAGCACGCCATGAAGGACGAATACAGCCCATACTGCGGCGGCAGGCCCGCCACGCCCGCGTATGCTATCGCCTGTGGGATCACTGTCAGACCCACTGTTATGCCTGCGGGACAAAAGTATGGGTTAATTTGAAGTTAGATACGAGTAAAGTACACCAAAACTCACAGGCCACTTCCAACCAGCCAATCTGGAGAACATTGCGAGAGGCATAGGGTCAGTAGTGGACGTCCTGTAGCTGAAATGTGGTGATGGTGATACTTCTTATTTATCGTAGTCTGGGAAAAACAAAACTTAGATAGTGTATTAAAATTTAGGTGCCATTATTGCTAGGAAGGAATTTCTTACAGACAAAGGGAGAGTCTTCTTTTTTCTTACAGAGAAAGGAATTTCTTACAGACGTTATAGTTGTAAGGCAACAGCCTTACTTACTTGTGAGATGCTGTATAACAATACAGCATCTCACAATTTAGGGGTAGCGAAACAAGTACAGAAAGTTTATTTGACTATATTCAGAATATTCATAAAGATAAAATACTTAATTTTAATAAGAAGGCATATTTTAATAATTTGAAAAACGACTTATTGTAGTGGAGAGCGACACGGCATGTTTTATTTGGGATCTCATGTTTTTTTTGTGTGCTGTGATAAATATTTGCACAAATTGCATCCGTATTTAGCGGGTAAACAATTACTTTAGGCCTTCCAACGGTGAAGCCTTCGCACATTAAGTACTTATTTAATGTTTTAGCGCCTTATGACGTTTATGATCAGTTTAATTTATTGGTTTGTTCTAGCGAAGTTGCAAATAGGTACTTATTATTTATTATTGCTTTCATTATGTGCTAAACTGGTGAGTTTTCTCATGGTAACAATCATAATAAGATAATTATAGTAATTAATTACTTCTTATTAACGAGTCTTTAAATACAGTAGGTACCTACTCATAATAATTACTCCGTAATTAAGTCTGTTTATAATTTATTTACTATCGAAGTAGGTAAGTATGTATTTGAAAAAATAAAAATAAAACAACATTAATTCATGATCATTATTATAAGAGTTGAATCAGAAAGACGGGATTGAAATCTTAAAAGTAACTTTGCTCGACAAAAATTGGATTAATGGCTTCAAAAAGCTTTCAACAAGCGGTTTTGAATTTTCTAAACTGAATAATGAAATTCTTTGTTATCTGTGGTTGTATTAAAGGCTTCAAGACGTTTTCGAAGTTAGAAAATAAGTAGAGATGATTTTATTTATATTAAGCTTTCTCTAAAATTTTTAACAACTTTGAAAATTGAGTCATCGACCTGCATTTTCTCTGATTATATCAATAAATGATGCGAAAAGCAAGTGCTTTGACCTCGCCTGCGCCCGCGCCGCCGATCCGTGAAATAGCGTTTGTGGACAACAATGTGCTTGGCGCAACGAGCATTGTTGCAGTTTCTGAAACTGATGTCAGGGTTTCTACATTATGTAGACTTAGAACGTCATGGGCAAACTCGAAGAACAGTTTCTTTCTACAGCTACAGCCAGGCTACTTTTCAAGTTTTCTGAGTTTTCAAGAAAAAAAACTACTTTAACTTAATTATCATCTACTTGTAATTTTTCCTGTAAAGCCACTACTCATAAAATCCACTCGCATGACAAATAGTTTTGGGTGGGTTAAAGAGAGCAGATTTCCGTAGCATGTCATAGACACAGACGCACGCCACTGATTCGAAAATGTTCTTCTGATTAATTTCGTTGCGTGTGCAATGATAGTTTAACTTTCCCCCGGGACAAACTTGACCTTCACTGGTTGGGTTTTTAGTGGCGGTCAAGTTGTAGATCCTAGGTATACAGGAGTTGCAGGGGTGGGAATAGTAGATACCGTTCTAAGACTCACTGAAAAGTGAAATCAGCAGTGGGCGACGGCGTATGTGACTGCACCAGACAGTCTGCCAACAGAGAGAGATGGCGGGAGATCGTGCGGAGAGTTATATCCGCTTCTACAACCGATGTGACCACGACCGCTCTGCCAAGAGCGAAACGAATAAGAAGAAGAAGACTCACTGATCTGCGATGGCGTCGGAGAGCCCGTTCTTGGCCGAGTACTTGGGCAGCCAGCTGAGGATGGGCAGGCGGCGCTGAGGATCTCGATGGAGCAGCAGGCACGCGACTCGATGCAGTCCTCCCAAGTTCCTCGCTGACCTTGGTGCAGTTCGCCCAAACTTGTCACTGACCTGCGATGGCGTCGGAGAGCCCGTTCCTGGCCGAGTACTTGGGCAGCCAGCTGAGGATGGGCAGGCGGCGGCGCAGCGTCTTGGTGGAGCAGCAAGCGCGCGCCCTCCGCGCCGCCCGCCGCCGCCAGCCGCCCACGTCTCGCCAGCCGCCCGCCTCGCTGCCGCTGTCTTTGCTTGGGTATAGCCCATTGGGGTCTGGGGGCAAGAGAACAATATTAGACTGACATGGATACAAATATTCCCGCTTCGCTGTCGCTGTGTTTGCTTGGGTATAGCCCATTGAGGTCTGGGGAGAGGGAACATTATTAGAATGACATGGATACAAATATTTGAATGACATGGATACAAATATTTGAATAATTAGAAGTGCTGTTCCTTCAGTGTAGAATAGGACCGCCTATATTCTTACGGTAGATATCAATAAAATCGACTAAGGGTAAAAATGCAAACATTAGGTAGGCCCAAACCTCTGGCCAGCGTGAGGTATGTCAATTCTTTTCGCGTCTGGCAAATTAAGAGGGTTGTGTTCCTGTATTAAACACTAAATTACCTGATGGTGATGATAATATACATAGTAGGGAATTTAGTGCAAGAACCCCNACCTACTTTTTGCGAAAAAAGTACCATACAATGTTATATTTTTATAATCCTGATAAATGTAGCTTTCAGGTCATATTTTTTTTATTAGATTATCTCCAGTGGTTTAAAAGTAAACGACGTTTATTTAAAAAAATACTTTTTGGTTTTTGTGAATTTTACTCAATATTTCATTTTTTTTGTATGAAAAGGCAAAAAGGTTGTTCTAGAAATGAATTCGCCATCCTTTAATTATCCGAAAATGATACCACACTTGCCCTAGTACCCATAGTTTTGAAGATATGGGCCTTAAAGTGAAGCGCGGCGGAAGGAAACTTGCCCCCCCTCCCCCTGCTACCACAGGGGGGGCTCCCGATGTCTACCGACGGAAATCCACTCAGGAGCACCCAAAGAACCACTGTTGCAAAAATGAGCCTTCTATACCAAAGTGGAGGGGTCTCCATACAAATCATTGCACTAAATTCCCTACTAACACTCACATATTGGTTTTGAATCGAAATTAAAACCGGTTACACTATAAGTATTTGATGTGATAAGAATAACACAGAATCTTCGCACCCTAGTTAAAACTTATGGACTTGACAGCTTTAATGTATGTATTTGTTCAACAACCAACAGTACTTATCATGGCCCTGTTACAACAAGGAAGAGCAAGAAAAATGCAGCTACGCAAATATTACACATGGACTAATACGACTAATGTTACGAAAATATGCCTGTGCTGTTTAATTTGCAGACGTTAGTCTATTTTATTAGTTAGTCACTATTTTACACGTATACCAAATACCAATGTGTATTTAATATCTACAATATTTGATGTAGTATCGTCGACAGTACATACATTTTCATTTTGAAATAGCCCCTATTTCAATCACATAAGATGTCAGAGAGTTTACCTTGATGTGCTGTGCTGAAAGTGTGATTTACTAATTACATAATGGACAGACAAGGTTGGAAGTCGAAGTCGTCTCGTAGCAAAATGTCAAGGAAAATTAGAAATGACAATAGAATCTCTATAAAGTGGCATCTTTAAAAGTGGAATTTTCTTAAAACTCATAAATCTCATTTATTTTGTAAGTAGGCTTTTAAAAAGCACACGTCCAGTATTAACCCTATCACTGCTTCGGGACATTAAATGGGCCAGTGTGCAGTGCTGAGAAGAAGCAGCGCAAGAAACTCTCTCATGGTATGACCCCTAGTTGATAGACGAGACTATGTCGACAATGTGCTGACTGAAAACTTAGTAAAAGTAAAATTTAATCCGGAAAACGTGTGTCAAGTTCCAAATGGAATGATTCCCGCGTATGACCAACAGTAATTGACGTCCGCTGTTTATCAACAGCGGCTGTATTTACAAGCACTTGCACAAACACGCCGCGATCCTCGCCCCACGCGCGGCGATACATCGTCTTTGTCGCCTCGAATAAAAGATATCGGACCACCGAGCAATTCCAATATTTGTGGAATTACTAAGCATGATCTAGTTGTTACGCGGCGCAATACCAGCTGATGTTGTGACACAATAGAGGTGAATGCAATGAGATATTGCGCTCACACAAACCTTTTCTAAAGCTAGGTTTATGTCGAAACAACGATAAATCAATAAGTACATATAAGAACTATGTATCTACGCGTAGATAAGAGGAGATCATGCAATGTCAAGCACAAAATAACAGATGGAAAATTTTTAGTAGAGCAATAAAGGTCGGTACGAAAAGTAGGTAGACCTGTGGGGCTATTCCCTGATAAAGTATGTTGCTTCTTCTTCTTATCGTGTCGACAACAAACCTACACAGTTTCAGCCCAAAACTCCGCCACAAGAGTGGGCAAACCTAAGTATTTTGCTGATGCACATAAACTTTTATAGCGATCAGCAGCCAGCAGTTTGCGTATCTTGCGACAGTAAAAATACATTGCATTGGTAAACTAAAAGTGGGTAATTAACGGTAGGAATTTCTTTGCGATATCCTAGACATAAAAGCGCTGATTATAAACTAAGAGCTCTTCATTTCAGGAATTTAGAACTATAAATGTAATTTATTTCTATCCATTAATTAACTATACAATCTAACAAACCGCCTATTATTTCGATTACAATCTACATTATTGAGTCCGATGCGCGAGTGCGGCGCGGTGCTGTACGAATTGTGTGCGCTCGCGTCGCCTATTCAGCATTGTGGATGCTCAATGGCATGCGACGGCCTTTGTGCTCGTTGCGACAGGCGAAAGTTGTATGCGAATTTTTTCAAAACGTTTGAGTGCTTTCTGAAAAACCATTATGCAAATGCCTCATGCTACTCCTGGCAATTATCTATGTACCGCTGAAAGAAAGTGACAATCCATTATCTTGATCTCAAAAAAAAAACGCTTGAGCAAATCTAGTGTTCAATTTAATTTGGGACTATTAAAAATGATACTTTTGATTTTTGAAGATAGATAGAACCTGGAAGAAAGAAGAATTCAAAGCTTTAAACTTTATTTTCTACATGGTAAATAAGCCTGTCACGATTTCGTAGTAAGGAGGTACGGAACTATCAGAAAATACTATTAGCTTACTCAAAACCAGTTTAAGACACACATCAATAGCCCTACTAAACAATCAACTATTCTATAAATAATTTCACAACATTTTTAAAGAATGCAGAAATGTTTTAAAATAAAAATAGGGTTGGCCCCGACCTCGGCGAAAGGCAAGGGTCGCGACCACACGGCCAAGGACCAGACCCGTTCTGACTGAGCAGTTCTAGTGTTTAACATTACGGGCAAATAGGTAATAATACCGGTTTAGGTAATACAATTAGGGTTGACACGCCTTTGTGTGCAGTTAAAATGTGAGCTTCTTGTTATTTTTCTTATAAAAAAAACTACAACGGGTCCCAATCAAACTTAAAATGTGCGTGTGGGATTGTCCAATAACCTAAGTACCACGCTAAGGTGTTCACTCATCTAAAAAATAAAAAGGAGAAAATCAAAAGCAGGCCTTTTTTTTAAATTTTAATGTCTCAGTTAAACATATCTTTAAGAGTTCATCAATTAGTTCATGGTCATAACGAAAATTCACAAAATCACGACGGTTAGTAAAAGATGTGCTACGCAACTCTACTTTGGTAAAACAATGTTGAATAAGTATGAAGGTACCTATTAAATTTTCGATATTATTGTTATTACTTGTATTAACACTATTATTACGAAAGCAGTAATATAAAATGAAATCAACATAGCATACAAACAAGATGCTGAAATGTGAATTTTAATCAATGCGATAGAGACAGCCCTGAAAGGTAACTGTCACCGCGAAAGAGCAGATTAATTAGCGAATTTAGTATATTGAATTCGTTGGCCTTCACCCACTGGCAGAAAGGACGACCGGCGCCAATCAGATTAAAGATTGCGGTAGTAATCTACTAATATTAGTATTTACTTTTAATTACTACTGTTGTCTTATATTATGCTTAATAAGGACTTATTTCCTTTGTAAATAATATTATATGCAAATACACAAATACAGTTTAAACTTTAGGAGATGCGTTGTAGCAAGAAAAAGGAATGCACAACGTCATACATTTTTAATTAATGTAGAGTGCAGCCAGAAATCAGAATCGGAAGTAAAAATACGATAAAAATACAGCAGAAGTACGTACTGTAGCTAAATAGTTTGTGAGATTACCTCCTTAAACTCGAAATCATAAACTACTTAATTAACAACTCTATGAATGCAGTGAAAAGTTTTATTTGCCTCTGATTTATGTAGTGGTGTAGAGTAAACACGTAAATCACTAATGTGTGTCGCCATGATGTTTATTTATGAATAGTAATCGAGCTTCATTCGAGCTCGTTTACAATCAAAATAAACCTGACCTACAGCTACGATTAGCATAAGGAAAGTGAGCTACGACGCCGCCTGCGTTTGCGCATAGCTAGGGCTTTCAGTCAACAATGTTTTTAATTTATGATGGTTTAATATAAGTACGCGTTTTCATGAATTAATTCAGTTTTCCCATATTATTCATCAGATGATGTGTCATCGTATCTAATGGATTTGCATGAAGGTTACATTACTGTCAGATAAGTGACAGGTGCACTACTAAATTCATGAAAAACTAAGGAGCACTAAGAATCTTGAATACCTAATTTTTGCTTTAGACTTTAGGTGACTTAGGGCTGATTTTTCAATCGTCGGATAACTTTTAACTAAAGAATAAGTTTGGCACATTGACAGTTTCAGTATGAGAAACATGTCAAAATGACAATTTTATTCTTCGGTTAAAAGTTATCCGACGATTGAAAAATCGGCCCTTAATAATAATATCGGTCAATAGAATGTCACTCATGGCAAAGCGTGTGACATTTTAATTGATTTTGCGTGTCATTTACTAACGGTATTGTCAGCCCTAGCGTGACAAAAGTTCTCGATGAGGGAAATTTAAGCAAACCTGCGCAGTGACGTAGACGACTTTCCACTCGCAGTGATTAGCGAATTCATTACTTGTGTTAGCATAAAACTTTATTTTGTACACAAACCTCATTCAGTGCCAATTGTTTTTTTACTAAATTCTGTTTGCTAATTTTCTAATTGAACTTTTCCTTTCTTTTTCACT